GCGGCGGGTGGGAGCCAGTTCGTGGCAGACGCTTGCGTGAGGAGCCCTGGCCCTCCGTTCCCCACAGCGGCTTTTGTCCACACCTCTGCACAACAGTCCCCGGGATAATCCTCCCTTTTTCCTCCCCGATTACACCAGTTGTTTCCCCCAGGACACCACAAGAGCTGCTTTATTGAAGGCCACACTCATCACGGCACAGCAGAGACTGCAAGAGATGCGATTAGCCTGGCACAACCCCCTTCAGAAAACCAACGCGGCCCTTTTATTGCATTTACTTTGCATCATGCTTTCCCTTAGAAACGCAGTCCAAAGGCCTGCGGGAGGGCATGGGCCAGGGGGGCCACAGGTTGCCCGGACCCATTAGCGCGCTCTGGCAATGGGCAGATTAAAGAGGTTTTTGTTTCCACCGTGTGCCTTTCCCAAACGGTCTCTGACGAGCCTTGTTCTCGCCTGGCCGTTGAGCTCTGCCGTAGCCCAGCACTGGCCCCTGTCCCCTCCCTGCTCTAAGCCGGCCAGTGGGGAGACAAAAGCGTCCGACCTGCCCCTGGCAGAGGCAGCACGCCTGCTGCCCCTTGTGCTGGCCTGGGGGCAGCCCTAGGAGCAAGACCCCAAGAAAGCTCCAGCTGGAGGCAGCTGGCAAAAGAGGGAAGAATCAAGGTCTGTCATTTATCAGGCAAAAAGTTTAAAGATGGCCCCCTGCCTACTGAGGTTGTGTCCCTGCAGCTCGCTGACGCCTGTTGTGCCTTCTACATGGGAGATGGCTCCTCTTACACCTTTCTGTGTCTGCTCCCTCAGCCTGGCCCCGTTTTCCATTGGTATTGTATCAAACCATCTGCTTGGAGACTGGAGCTGCTGCCTGTGGCTGATTCTGTGTGTCTGTAGGATCCACCTGATGGCTGGGCGGGTTCCCCTGGGCACAGACCGGGCAGCAGTGGCAGGTGAGATGGAAACCACCTTCGTTGAGAATCTCAGATATGCTGCTGACCTGCTGGCCCAGGTAAGTGGGGAACAGGTCCTGCTCCGTGGGTGCAGCTCTTGGGGTACCAAGGATGGAGAATCGCCCACCGGCCTGGCACGGGGAAGGAGCGCTGCCTGCTGCAGAGGTAACAGGATGCTCCACAGGGTGACATTACTGTGTTGCAGGAAGACATGATAGGAGTGGTGGAGCCTATTAACAACCGTATCACTGACCCTTGCTACTTTCTCAACACCCCGCACCAAGGTAAGGCAGACATGTCTCCCCAAAGTTTCCTTCAAGGGCGGAGAAAGATCCCCAAAGTCTGAAAGGCAGGAGGTTGCCTTACCTGCAGGGAGATGCTGAGGGAGCACAGCTGATGAAGGGGGGGTCTTGGTCTCTCATTTCTTTGTACCCTTAGCTGCTGCCATCCTGGAGAAGGTGGGACGGCCCAACCTGAAGCTGCAGCTGGTGAGTCAGCATTGAGGATCTTCAGGGTCCACCCTCCACCAGGGAACCTTGCGCAGGCCCACAGGGGAGTCTCTGGGGATGTGGGGAGGGACAGGGGGGGACCGTAACACAGCTGTCCTTGACTGCTCACTGCTGAACAGCTGTGCTATCCATCTTCTCTCTCTCCCCACAGGACCTCTTTCACTGCCAGATCATGGATGGGAATTTGTCACGCAACCTGGAGACATACTTCCCACTCATCGGTAACACTGCACCCAAACCAGCTCCTCTATGGCCATGGGGCAGGAGTGGCTTTGAGATGGGGCCCTGTTGCCCCACACTCTGCTGTGGCTGGCTGGGGGTGTGGGGCTGCTCTTGGGTCACCTCGTCCCATGGCTAGAGAAGGTTGCAGGCAGGGCTGCCTTGGGCAAAGCATCTCCCATTCCCTCCCTAGGTCATATCCAGATTGCACAGGTGCCGGGGCGGCACGAGCCCGACAGCCCCGGGGAGTTGAACTTCCCCTACATCTTTGAGCTCCTGGAGTCCCTCGGCTACACTGGCTACGTGGGGTGTGAGTATGCCCCAAAAGGTGAGTGGGCCTGTGGGCGGTCTGAGCCCCAGCGGCAGGTCCCAGCATGGACCAGTTGACTGGGGACTGTGCGGAGGCAGGCAGGCCCTGGGGAGTGGGAGGGAGCGGGCATCAGGGTTCCTATCTGGGGATGAGAGCCCTGCCCAGAACAGCAGCTGCTCCAGCCTGCCTGGGGGTGTCAGCAGGAGACCTTGTCTGTCACTGCAGGAGACACTCTGGAAGGTCTGGGCTGGTTGCGCTCGTACTGGGAGAGCAGAGGCCTACAGCATGGTGGGACCAGCAAGGCAGCAGAGTAAAACAAGGAAAACATTGGAATAAACGTCAAAGCAATGGCTTAACAGGGGCGCATGTTTGTCTTCTTTATGACTTAGGGCAAAGTTAGGAGCATCTATGTCATATTGTCCTTCCCCAGGCCCTGCTGGGCCAGCCCAGGCAGTTGGACCCTCTAACTCAAGCACCATCTGCAGCATGTCATATTTGGGGATGGCTTGGGCACCACCGTAGGTGACTTGAGATACACAGTAGCACCTTCACCTGCAGTCTGCAGGGATGTCCAGGGAGAGGTTTCCAGTTCCCCCTGCTGGGAGGAGCAATCTCTCTTTGAGAAGGGCGCAAATGTTCCCAGTCCAGCTCCAGCTGGTGACTGGAGTTGTGTGAAGAGGGCTGGGGGCTTCCAAATCCCGCAGTTCTCGATGATGCTGCCACTGCCCAGCGCTGACCCCACAGCAGGTGGGGAAAAGTGAAGCAAGCAGCCCCCTCGCAGGCTGCCCGAGCCAAGGTCCCGGGCTGGGGGCTGCCGGCCCACGGACACTCGGGGCTGACTGCCCTGCTGCTCCTGCTCTGGAGCAAGTATGAGACCCCGGTGCAAACACAGCCAGCCCCACAGCCAGGGCTGCCTCTGCATCGCTTTTCACATCCTAGCCTACGGCACGTGAGTGGGGATCTGGTTCAGTTTATTTCACAGATACATCAATGGCTTTAAAGTACATCTCCATAAAACTTTCCCCTGGTCCAGTTCACCCTTCCTGTCCCATTCGGTGCTCTCCTGATGAAAGCAAAGGGCCAGAAGTGGGCAGCCTCACTGTCCAGAGCCCTGAAGTGCACGAGTCTTTCCGCCTAAAGCCAGAGTGCTGTGCGGTGCTGCCCTGTGCAGAAGACGTGCTGTGTACACTCCTCCGTGCCTTCCCGGCAGACAGAACTCACCTGCAGATGCCAAAGCCATGTCCCTGAGAGTCGCTCTGCTTCAGCCAAGCCACACCTGCCCTTGTGGTTCGGTTCAAAGTCATTCAGTATCAAACCCACCGAAAACAGTGCACTGAGGGCCACACTAGCCAGCAAACGATGGAGGTGCACATCCCCAGGCTCCTCTGTTCAGTACCTACATGTGCCACTAGTGGTGCTGCCTGCAGTGCCGGAGCACAGGTCCCCCCCGAGACCCGTTCTTCCCCATCGTCACCCATGGCACAGCCACGCCGAGAGGTCCAGTATACGCGTTGCTCCAGGATGCGGGTGCCAGTGCTAGAGCAGGCCTGTCCAGAGGTTGAAGCAGGCAGTGTTGATAACTGACTCCAGGTGGTGGTATGTGGACACAAGCTGCGGCAGAGGGCTCTCGCTGTTCTGGGGCTGCACTGGGAACGGCTCCCGGAAAACCACGGTGAGGCTCTGCTGAGAAGGAGGAACAGGTCAGGGGACAGGATTCAGACAAGAACTGTGCCCTCCCTAGCCCAGGTGCGCCGGCACTTTTTTGGCAGTGTCAGGCAGATAACTGGGAGAAGTCCCAAAATGCCAATGGCACAAAGTTAGTGCCTCTTTCTGTAACAGAGCATGTTTGAGCCTCCTCCCAATTTTCCTGGTGGAAACAAGGTGCAAGGACTTGCCCGCTCACTCTGTCCCAGCCCCCATGCATCTGCAGTTATACCAACCCCAGCAGCAGCCTCAGGAGAGGAGGGGATCCTACTGCCTCCACAGTAATAAGGGCTTCCAGGGAAATTAGAGGGAAATTTCTTCTTCTAAGGCAAAGTGTAGGAGTGCAACAAATGAGGAAGGGGAGGAGATTAAACATAATAACTGCAATTCTAAAAATAAATGCTGGCTGCTCCATTCTCATTAGTGACTGTACTGACAAGGCAGGGCAAGGGCAGAGGGGAGCAGAGAAAAGGGTTCAGAAGAGAAGGCTGCAGAAACTGAAGCAGAAGAAAAACGTTAGCGACTCAGTGCACCGAGATCAGTGTCATGGAAGCAAGACACGGGGACTGGGTGTTCTCCAGAGCTGAAAGGCAGCACATCTAGTAGCCACGGTCCTCTAACAAACTCATAAAGCCATGAGAACAGCTGTGTAACTGCAAAACAGCAAACGCGTCACCATCATTTAAGAGGGAAGAGAAAGAGATTTGTGAGCCTAACTCCAGCAGTGTGCAAGGCTTTGGAGCAGGCTTGGAGAGAATGAACCAGGAGGAAAGTGCAGCTCGGCGTTACCAAAGTGATGTGCTAACACTACAGTTCTCTTTGATAAGGTAGTATTTCTAGACAAAGGAATCATGGTATATCTTATCTGAGCTTCAGGAAGGATTTGATGTAGTGCCACATGGGAAATTTAGGTAAGCTGAAAAGATAGGAATTAACACAAAAATTATAAGGTGAAGATGGTAGTGCTGAAAGGGGAGGTAGGAGAAAGGCTGGAGAGAGGTTACAAGTGGAGTTCCTCCAGGACAGGTTCTGGGACTCGCGTTGCCTAGCACTTTAATGAGTGTCGCACAAAGATGAGGAGCGTGCTGATAAAATTTGAGGCTCTAATACAAAAGAGGATTGGGATAATGCAAAAAAAGCCCTGGAGACTTTTCAGAAGCCACAGGAATGGGATGAATGTTAAGTGCGAAATACAAGGTGAGGAACACAAAGGATTTCTGTTATAAGATGGTATTCACTGGGAGAGGTACTGGGTGTACCATATCAATGACCACAAGGTGACACAATGACCAGTAAGACACGAACGTGAAAAGGCAAATACCACCCTTGGCTGTACCAGAAGCACCAGGCAGGGACAGAAAAGCCTTAGTGCAATCACAGAAGGCTCTGCTGAGACTCCTAAGGAATGCTGGGTGCAGTCCCTGACACCAGTATTTACAAAGGCTGACCTGAGCCCTGAAGGGCTCTGAATGACAATGAAGCCATTGGAGAAGGGAAGGCAGGCTTAAGAGCTTGGCTAGATTAACACAGCAACGTAGAGTTAGCAAAAATTCCACTTTCAGATGTGGAGGTGAATCTAGGGGACTCGGGAGGAAGACAGTACCCACAAAAAGCTCTGAGCCACCACTGGCCTGAAGAGAATAGAACTGGCCACAACAAAAGCTCAAGCACAAAATGGGAAGAGGTCTTCACCATCAGGTGGCAGGAGGCGCTGAGCAGCCTTCCAGCAGGCACCACCTCTTCTGTCTCCCTTACCTGCTTTTAAGACAGAGTGTGATTTATTTACAAAGGGATCAGTTATGCTGCAGTCTCTGCAAAAGCCTCAGTGTGGACTGAAACCTCTTGTGGATCCCTTGTTCTCACATGCAGCTGCAGTCCCTGCGACACATCCTGCACTCTGCCTGGGAACACAGCTCAAAGCAGAGCGTTTTTTTCCTCAAGTCCAATGAAGGTCAAGGCCTGTGCGGGTCTGCTGGAACCCTCACAGTGCAGGTCCCCTTCCCTTCTGCCCAGGTAAGAGCAGTCTGCAGCACTGGCGACCCCTCCCAGCCAGACCCAGTGTGCTCTGGCTTTGGACTGAATACACAAGGACTCTCTAGCCTGGACAGAGGGACAGCTGAGAACACGATCCAAAAGCAACCCTGTGAAGGAAAAGAGCATCAGCTGCTCACTGTTTTCCAATACAAGAACAGAGGGGAATCACACAAAAAAGCAGAAGGAGGTTCAAAAACAATCCAAGGAAGGTAGCTCCTCACCTACATTGTACCTGCATCACGGAGCAGCAAGTCAGGGGAAATCACAGATACCACAAATTAACCAAAGCAAATAAAGCTGCGGAGGGCTATTAAATAAATGCAAAGACCACCTCTGGCTCAGGGCAGGCCTGGGCCACAGTTTGTCAGATGTTGGGACAGTAATTGGGAAAGGTGTTAACAAGCTTCTTGACTTGCTCTTATTCTCCCCATAGGCACTTGCCCTTCGTATCTGCTGGATGAATCTAGACAGACTCCTGGCCTGAGCCAATATAGCTGCTCTTACGTTCCCAAGTTCTTACCGTCTTTCCTGAATGGGAATCGAGAAACACAAGAACGAAGCAATCCGTGAACTTCTGGTTGAGCACAACCTGTCAAGAAAGCCACAGCACACATTGCAAAGGAGATAGCACAAACCGCAGGACAGGGATACGAACACCATGCACCCAGGGATGTGCTGACGTGCAGGACGAGTGGCATGATAGAACCGTGAAGATGCAAGTCTGCCTGGCTCACAGGTGCCACTGCCACACCATAGGGATATACATGGCATGAGGCTCTGGGTGTGACGAGTGTCCTGCCCTCCTGGGGGCAAACAGACACTGCTGTACCACACACCTCATGCTGCACCAGCGGTAGAGTGGCGAGCAACACCATGATGGCACCCACGTTGTCCTGACAGCGTGTGCCAGGCTCACGTTGTGAGAAGCCACAGCAGGCTGGGCCCTGGACAGGGGAGAGAGGCTGAAGGGAATGTGACGGACTCTATCCTACCAGGTACTGGGTGCCGGTTTCAGCGTTGTGGAAGTGCCGACAGCTCTGGGGAAAGCGGCTCAACAGCACTTTGATGAGGCTCTGGTACCAGGAGACTGTCATGGTAAGGAAGCATCCCTGTGGGCACGGAAAAAGGCTGATTTTAGCGTCCCTCTAGCCATGGCACCAGCAGCCATAATGCTACAGCAGCCTTCAGACCCCAAATCCCTCGCAGCCCCCTGAGGCATGCTGATCTTGGGCTATTCACTCTCCATAGACAGGTCCATGCAGCCTCCTCTTCCCCTGCCAGCTAGGGGCTATGTTCCTGCCTCTGTGTTCCCACCAAACAAGAAGAGAGGTGCTCTGTAGGCCCTTCACCTGGCACCCCACTCCATCCCCAGAGCAAAACAGCAGCTGCTGTGCACCATCCCTGCTGCTCACCAGCTGGGGGTCGACGTCAGCAATGGATTTCCCATGCACGGCATCGAGCAGCTCCTCCAGCTCCACCAGTGAGAGCTTGCCCAGCTTCAGCTTGTCAGAAGCCAGAGGCTCCAGAAGAAAGAGGCGCTTCCAGAGGTTGTCCCTGCGGCAGTGGCACTTGGCCAGCTGCACCATGCTGCTGAGCTGCTTCTGGGCTGAGGCCACCTCAGAGGCCAGCAAGGGGAAGAGTGGTGAGGTGTAGAAGAGCCCTGGCCCCAGTTTGACTTGCGGGCCCCCTGCATAGAATTCGCCGCTGTCCTCCACGTCCTGCCACAGCTCCCGCTCTGCTGGCTGCTGCTGCCCCAGGCTCGTCTCTGGCTCCGCTGCCTCCCACGCTGCCCGGCCCACCACAGGCTCCAGCACATCCCTTTGCAAGCGTGGCAGCTTCTTGAAGCGCCGCATATCGGCTGTGAGCCGGGGAAAGAGCTCCCGCTGGCTAGTCATGATGACGTAGAAGCGCAAGCTGAAAGCAGGAAGACACTTGTGACCTGGGGAAGGGCTGCTGCCTTCTCAGCTGGGCTGCAAATGAATCACGGGCTTCGCGGTCCCTGCCAGTAAGGCTGTTTCTCTGCCCAGACAAGGACGGACACCACACTGCCCAGTTCCCTGCAAGGATCTTCCCCAGACAGCAAACCTGCTTGTGATGTCCCAGACAGAGCCAGTCCCTCCCAGAGCCCTCCTCCCCAGCCAGGAAGCTTTTGTGTCATGTCTCTGGGCCCCCAGTGCTCACCGGAGCATGCGTCTCTCTGCCTCGCTCTGCTCCTCAAATGGTGCTGCACTGTGACACACCAGGAGGGACACATCGAAGTCATCGTGATGACGCAGACCTTCAGAGTCTTTGTAGGAGCCCGAGCTGGGAGCAAAAGCACATCAGTATGAATGGGACCTCACTTTGTTCCCCCAGAGCCCTTGGTCACAACAGAACCATTGGACATTGGGAGTTTGACACAGCAGGACTCCTCAGAAGTGCTATGGGAAATGTCAAATGCATGTGTACACGTGCACAGCACCCCTGTTGGCCACCTCAGAAAAGCTGGGCAGAACTGCTGCCTGGCACTATGAAGAACAGTCAGCTTTGCTAGCACCTTGGGGCAATGTCCCCAGGACCACGGGGTGCCCACCAGTTTCCGGCACCTCCAGGAACTTGCAGCAGATGCACTCACCTGTTCCAAATAGAGACCAGCGCATACTCGTTCTGCTCTGTGCCTGGTGTTCCCTTCTTGTTGTCGTTGCCCGTGGCCGGCCGGGCCATGCGTAGGGGTTTCATGTGGTAGGTGTTGGCGTGGTCAGCGATGTAGTTGTACAGCTGGTGCGCAGTGATCATGTTGGTGGGCAGGGCCAGCATGCCTAGCAGAGGAGGACACAGTGCTATGACAGGAGCTGCTCAGTGCCTCTTACCTGGTGTCCTACAGACTACTCTGGGGGACAGAGCTCTAGAGTAACCCGCCTCCATTCCTCAAAAGGGCAGCAAGGACTACCTCTGGAGCTGAGCCCCTCTTATCAGCCTCTCACTGTTATCTCCCTGGATACTCCCAGGGTCGGGTTTATTTGTAAAGTACTTGGGAACCTTTTGCCAAGTTATGGGCTGGTGATCAACCCCAGACTCATTACATGTTGAGCTGCTCACCTTGGAAAACATGGTTGCGGCCAAATTTGGGGATGTCAGGGTGGTGGGCAATGAAATCCTCCAGGAAGCTGGTGAGATGGTAGCCCTGGCGGAGGGTCATGTGGGAACCCAGTAGATACTGGTGGACTATACGCAAGTGGAAGTCATAGCTGAATGAATGCACGTGCATGAGGTCCCGCACCTTGTCACACTCCTCCGTGAAGAGCATGGAGAGCTGTGGAGGGACAGGGAGTCAAGGCAGGAATGTTACCAGGAACCTCACACCCTCCTGCAAAGCCCTGCTGACAGCAAGGCATGCCAGAGCCAGTGAAGCCACCCCTGCCCTGCCCAGACACCAGAGCAGGATGCAGCCGAGAAGCTGTGTGCGCAGTGCAAATAGCAGACCTGCAGGCCTGGCCTCAAGGGATCCAGCTTGGTGGCTCCTTGCACACTTGACCTCACTCCTGGTCTCCAGTAGCAACATGGACTGATCAGCACTGACTCCCTTTTGGCATGAGGCTTCTCCCCCCCCTTTGAGCTGAAAGCCACAGGGCTGTGAAGGAGGACACAGCCTCCTTTCAGCTGAGTGTGGCTCTGCAGTGCTTAGTCCCCAAGAGAGTACAGGACACACTGGGGCTGGAGCCTCAGCAAGTTCTGCATCTACAGACAAAGACTGACACCTTGAATGTCCTTTGAGAGCAGGAGGCAGCACAGGGGTCTGTGAGGAGCGGTTGGACCCAGAGATGGGCCACAATAGAACTGCAAATGTCATGTGGTCAGTAACTAACAGGGACCCAGGCTGGCTGGTGGGAAAGCAGATCCAGCGGTGGCTGGTGTGTCATAGCTGTGCCTGGAGAGGATCCCTCTGGCACACGGCCATCAGCTCTGCTCAGCGTACCAGTCCTTTACCTGGGCAGCACCAGCCTTCACACACACACCCCTGGCCATGCACCCACCACAACTGCAGCTACTGTGCCAGAGGACAGCGTTGGTGGAGGTGTCGGCATTGCCCTCATGTCAGGAGCTCACAGTTTTACTTTCAGCTCTCTGACCTCTTTGGGCAGTTGACCCACACCATAATCCCCTGGTTTAAGAAGGGGGCAAGCAGGGAAAACCAGCAGGCAGGGGGCACAGGCTGCCCTCGCTCTCTGAATCACCTGCATTGCTGCTGCCATGAGCCAGAGGGCAACGCACACAGCCAGCAAGGGCCTGGAGAGGAGCCTGTAGCTCTGTCCCAGGAAAGGCAGGGCGAAGAGCAAGAAACACAAGGCGCTGCCCCCACGCCGGCACCCGGGGTCTACCCCATCCTCCTCCCAGGCTGGGCTGCCCACTGTGGCATGTACTGCTACGGAAGGCACTGGCGCAGGAGGCAAGAGGCAGCTCCCACTGCCGGGCGCTGGGGCAGGAAGGGTGGAAGCACAGCCAGTGGTAGGTTCGGTCCTGCACTGGCAGGTCCTGCTGTGCCCAGCACGGCAGTGGGAAGAGAGGACGTACCGCAGACTCAGAGACGGAGCTGGGTCCCATGCAGCTCTTGCTGCGAGCTCTGGCTGTAAGAGTGCCCTGATGGAGAGAGATGCACAGCCAGTGGGAAGAGGGACAAGGCACTGCCCAGCCCTGTTCCTGCATCCAGCCTGTCCTGCACAGGCCCAGGGTGGGACAAAGGGAGAGAAGGGGCAGAGGAACCCAACTGCCCCACCTGAAGGAACTCTGGGCTAGTCCCAGCATGTGGGAAGGCTGGCCAGGCTCCTGCAGCAAGCCCCACGCCTCTCACCCACTGTTCCCAGGGCCACCATTCCCACTGCAAAACCAGGCAAAGTCTTTTCCCAAGTCAGCCAGAGAGAGCCTGGATGTTCCCAGCAGCGCCAGCTGCAGCCTGGTAACCCTGCCCTGTGCACATGCGGGCTTCCCAGGAAAGGCTCAGCAAACCCTCAGGCGAGGTCCTGGCAGGCTCTAAGCTTAGGAGAGCCGCTCTTGGCATATATTGGACACAGCCTTGCTACAGAACCACCTTGGAAAGGACAGTATGGTCATGCACACCTCCTGCCTCAGACAGGCTGGGGCTGGGCAGCCTCTAAGCAGCCACCCAGTGCCCTGGGGACAGGCAGGAGACACTATGACACACCGAAAGAGAAGGGAGCAGGCAACCCCATGGTGCTGTAGAGCAAGGCACAGAGGTATCAAGAACCAGGGCTCGTGGTGCAGAAAGTGATCTCCTCCAGCAAAGGGCAGCCATCCATGTTCACAGATCCCAGCTCCCATTCTGCTTCCCTTTTGTTCCAAGGGAAGCAGAAAGCTTCTAGCTCTCCATGCACTGACCTTCCCTGGAGCAGTCATCTTTTGACAGAATTGCTCCTGTTCCTCCCCAGCCTGCTCTGTCTTGCTCTCCAAGCTAGGGCAAGAGTCATCCTCTTGCCAAACCTCCCACCCTCTTTCACTGCACTTCAGATGTGCTCAAGCAGCAGGCCACAGAGGGCACGTGGCTGCAAAAGGCTCTGCGCTGTTCTGCTTTTCCAGGAGGAGGGAGCAGAGCTCTCCAGAACTTGCTGCACCTGAAATGCCCACTCTGTCCCAGAGATCGCTGCCTCTCCCAAAGCAGACCCTGACGAGCACCGGCTGTGCCTGCAAAGCCATTACCTGGGAGTTCACAGACTGACCCATGGGGATCCGTGAGCACTCCAGCGCATACTGCTTCACACAGAAGTAATAGCCCTGGAAGAAAGAGTACATGAGCACAGCACAGACCTTGAGCCTCTCCAGTGAAGGAGAACAGTCCCCATGCTTCACCCTCTGGGCTGGGTCCCAAACACTATTGCTCCATGTTTTGTCTCCCCTGCTGTCTGAATCATGCCGGCCCAGCCAACACACAACTGAGCACAGGTCACCCTACCTGGTGCTGAGCCCTCGCATCGTTTATTAGCGCCCCCCTCCAGGCAACTCTTACTGCTCTGAGCCCTGCAGAACCATCCCTAGATGATCCACAGTCCTGTAGGACCATGGAAGAGGCAGGACTAGAACGGAAGAATCCCATGTCCCTGCTGCACTCCTCCTCATCACTTTCTTTGTCACCTCTGAAGACTGTCCTCAAACCCCCAGAGATAGTACTCTGTTTCTTGTTTTTCCTTACCTGGAAGGCCAACTCCATCAGCACAATTCCACCTGGAAGAGCTCTCTGTAGATGATAGGTGGCAACAGCAGGGCTTGTGCTCTGGGAAGAGAAGGACAAAGCTGAAGAGGCGCTCTGGCACAGGAGACCAGCCCACACACTAGAGTGCAAGGCTGCCACAAGGCTCTGTGGCAAAGGTGGAAATAGAGGAGCCTCATCAACCAAGCACCCTCGATGGAGGGAGGAGGGCAGACATGCCAGAGCTGACTGTGAAAAGAATTCTAACAAACCTTCCAGAGAGCACACCAGGCACACTGCTCCCTTCACCTCCTGCTTACTCAGGACAGGGTGTCTCTAGAGTTTGAGGACACTGTAAGCTGAGGGATGGTGCTGCTCACAAAACCTCGCTCCCACCTTTCCCAGCTGAGCATTCCCGAGACCATCACATCTACCTGACACAGCAACTATCAAAGGCATCCAGTCTGGACTCAGAGCTTAGCTGCCAGCAAATTCACTTTCCCCCTGTTGAGTTGTTCCAGTGGATTGCTGTCTTCTCATTCTAACTGCAAGGTGTTGTCTTGCGCACAATCCTGCACCAACATCAGCCAAAGGTAGGTGCCAGGAAGGTGTCAGAAAAGGGGGAGCAAATGCTGTATGCTCCCATCATCCCTGGGTGATTTCACGAGCCACAGATGGTTTCTGCCTATCCAGCAACTCAGACAGATTCCTCTTTCAGGTACTTACCTATGCTCTCTTGTAAGTTCTTGTGTTCATAAACTCCACGTAAGCCCTTAATGTTCACAAAACCTTTTGATAAAGGCCACTGTAACCTGCTGCACAAAGAAACACTCCCTTTTGCTTTGAAACTGGCTCCCAATACTTTCATTTGATGGTTTTAAGGTGTTGTATCGAACAAGACAGCAAGGAGTCAACACCTCTCCACCCCTCCATGTTAGCTGTGATTTGTTAGAGCTCTGTCCTGTCCCTCCCTAGTTGCCACTAGAAATGAAGACTCTCAGCCTGGTCTCACAGTAAAGCCATTCTGGGTTTATCTTCTCTGATCTCTTCAACTTCAACACTCATCTCACTTTAACTCAAGATCCTTCTGTCCCAGAATTGCCCTTTACCATAGATGCTAGGGCTTTTCTGACAGGTAAACCTCCAGAATCACACCCAAAGGCAGCTGTCCTGGCCCCAGGTCACCCTGTTCCTCTTCTGAGCCCTCTCCAAGTTATTGCCATCCTTTTGAGATTTGCCCTGGTTCCACCGAGTCCCAGGAAGGGGCTGCAGGAAGACATGCAGGAGGGCAAAGAGGTCTCATCTGACCCAACATCCCAAAGATGGTGTCGGTCTAGACAGACTCTTTTTTTTTTCTTTTTCTTCTTTGCGCTTCCTCTGCCCTCTCACATCTTTTCTGTCTGAAACCAATTCAAAAGCCAAACAGGAGAACTGCCCCACTTCACAGCCTGCCTTCCATCCCAGTCCCGCCCCTCTAACAGACATGCACTCACCTTTGGACTCCCCTCTGCTTTCGGCTTCGTGTAGGAAAAGGACCCTCTCCCTTCCACACCCATTGCTGCCAGAGCTCGGATCCGGCTTGTGCTACTGGAAGTGACAGCAGAGAGAGCCTTGAGCAGGGGAGTCAACATCTCCTGTTGTGTCAAACCAGGGCATAGCTGAGTGTGTCAGCCCTTCTCCCACAACAGGGTTCCCACAATGTCACTGACCTGCGAGTGGTGGGTGAGGGTGGCCGCACCTGGACCAGAATGAAGCCCATGCTCTGCAGGTACTGGATGTATTGCTGCAAGAAGGCATTGCACATCTCCTGCAGCCAGGGCTCCTCCTTCACCTTGCAGGGCAGCGCTTCCGCTGAGTCACAGCTGTGGCTGCGGTCCCTCCCTGAAGCTGTAGAGTCATTTGAGCGGTGGCGCTTCTGGAAAAGAAGATAATTTCCTAAGGGGACTTGCTGTGTCTGGGCCCAGCAGGTGACACTCCCTGGGACACCACCAGCTGCTCTGGTGGTGCCAGAGGGCACTAACAGCTGGTTACTCAAACACCATCCTAGCGCATGTGCTGAAACACAAGATCCAAATTTTACTCAGCCATAGACTGACCTAAGAACAATTCAACAGACTGAGGGAAAAGGCACCCTGGCAGAAGGGGATAATTCACATACTCCCCCTGCAGAACGGCTTCCACAAAGTTTTAATGGCTCACAACTGGTTCATGCAAGGCTCAACAGAGCTTCAGCTCCTATTGCCACAGTAAGAGTCCAATCCCCTTATGAATTCTGCTGACTTCTCAGGATTTACTAGTAGTTCAGTAGCACTGAATAGCAATAGTGTTTCCTTTCAACCATTTTCAGTTCTCCTTTTGGTGTCCTGAATACTACTTGCCTTTGTGCTGTGAGAGATGGAGGTTTGTTTTCTTGATCTCTCTACTTCAAGCCTGTGGCTCTTTTACATATTTCTATCTACCCTTTCATTCACCTACCACAGCAGCAGTCTCTTAATCTGGGGTCTCTCTGGCTACTCTCTGACCTTCTCTGAGTCTCTCTAGTTCAGTGCCTTTGCCACAAGATGCTTGGTCTCACACTTACTGTCCATTAATACACCAGTATTTTACAAACGTCTTAGAATATTACCCATAATACTAACACCCCTTTCTGATGTACTCTAAACAGTTTGCCTTTTATATGTAACTGTTCACAAATTGGAGAAATCCACTGACCTGTCTGCTCTATACAGGCTCTGCAGTTAGTGTACAATACAAGAGGAGTTCAAATTTCTCTCCACATTGTACTCTGTTTTACTGGGAACCAGGGCCCAGCTCCCACAGTATCTCTCATTTCACAGGCTACTCAGGTCGCTCTCGAGTTTCTTGCAGTCTTTTTCTGTTCTGACCAGTGTGAACAGCCGCACAGCATTGCAAAGCTTGACATCTCATATGTACCGCGATAAATGATCTGGACATACAGAACCCAATACACAACCTTGAAAGCCCTGCTGCCAGGCTCTTCAAATTGAATAACCAATTTTCATTTCGCTCTGTTCCAAAAACAAAGTGAAGTTTTCATTCTGTGATGATACTTTTCCTTTCTCTTGTGAGTGCTCAATTTCTGTAGCAACCTCTGTTTAAAGACCATGTCAGAATCCTTTTGACATTTAGAGAAATTACAACAGCTTGTTATTCCTTTCTGACACACATTCAGACTGTGAACAGCCGGTGCAGGATCTGCACCGGTTAGAGCCTGTCAGGTTGCAACCTGCTCAGGATTCAGCTGGTTTGCTTTCAATTGTTCTAGCTATTTGCTGGGTCCAGGCAAGGTTTACCAGGTCTGGCTGCTGAATGCATACAGTGAAGTTTTGCTTCCTCAACAGATGAGCATGAGACAGAACTCCCTGATGGCTTTGCTAGACTCAGCCCTGAATACCCTGGGTAGAAAACGGAAGCCAGTCTTCCCCAGGGATGATGTGGCTGCAGGAGAAAGGCTTTGAGGACCCAAGGATTTTCTCTGCCTCCATCTTACAGAGTGCAAATTCATCCTGTAATGCAGGGGTGAGCTCAAAGCAGCCCTGTCTTGGGAAAAGGCTGCAAAGCCATCCTTTGCCCCATTGCACAAAGCTCAACCCCACTGGCACTTGCTGACACTCACCTTCCCCTCTACCTTGCCCTGCTGGTCAGTTTGGATTTGCTGCCGGAAGGCTGGGTCAAAGAGCAAGGGGGTAGCACAGTAGTGAACCAGGCGTGAGGACTGCTTCAGGGTCTCCAGGTCCGCCAGCTGCACAGCACAAGAGGAACACGGTTACAGCACACATCCCTCGTCAAGCCTGGGAACAAGCTGCCACAACACCATGCTGCTGCTCAAGTGGCGATCAAACTCTAGAGTGAACACCGCAGCTTTATAGCCAGTACTGGGCAGCGAGGCCCCTTTCCCAAGTCTGGTGCTAGAGCCCAGCAACCCCAGAAGTTCAAGTGGAGAGCACTGCTGCACTGACAAACACCATCCCTGGTGTACACCCTGCTCTGAGCTCCAGTGCTCCCCTTTGCCATAGGCAAGCTGGTGCTCCCAGGGCGCTGTAAGAAGGCCCAGCCTGCCTCCCGCCCGCCCGGGCTGCACTCACACTGATAGGCATGTTGGACTGTGCCGATCTCTGCTGCCAGGTAACAAAGAGATTCTCAATCTTCATCTGCTTCTCCAGTTCTGGAGGGAAGAGAGCAGCCACAAGAGTATCAAGCCACAGCCCCAGGTAATGCCACTCCATTCACTCCCACCCTACTCAGGCCATAACCCATCCCCTCACAGCACCCTGGCAGGAGCAGCTGAAAACTGTTCCCTCTGCCAGAACTCTTGTTCTGCTCTTTCTGAGCTCCTTTTCCAGGAGGCTTTTGTGACATCAAGCCCCTTGCTTTACCTTTCCTCTCCATGCTCTTGATTTCCAGGAACTGGGCCCCATGCCGAGACACGGGGTCAAAAGGTCCCAAGTCAGGCCCATGGGGTATGCGCTTGATGGTGGTAACATCCCGCAGAGCTTCATCAAAGGGCACCACATCAGGATGGAAGTGCAGAGGCGGTAGGCTGCGGGCGGAACTGCTCAGCCGGCCTTGTTCCTTGCTAGGTGGGGGGCTGGAGCTCCGGATCAGTGCATCCACCTCCAAAGTGGAGTTCAGGAAAGGATTTGGCTCCTAAGCAAGTAGACACAGCCATGAAAGCCTCCTTACTGCCAGCCTTGGAGCAAGGAACCACAAGAACCGAGTAAACCCAATTTTAGCCATCTGCAGACATCTTTGTTAGCCTTCTCCATCACCATTCCCAAGGAGAGCAGGCCTTGGCCCAGCAGGGCACTGATGTACAGTGGGAAGCCCATTCCCCAGCCTCCTCCACCCTAAATAATCCAGTCACAAACGGGTGCTGCCAGCTGCACGATCTGGCTTCCCTTTCCACCTCTGGCTGTCTCCAAGAGCAGACAGCAACAGCCTGGCTGGACATGGCCACAGCTGTACACACGAGCACCTGGTGATGCCTTGCCAACTGGCATACAAAAGCACACAAGTGTCTGCAACCTTCCTCAGACTCCCAAACTGCCAAGACCCCTCCTGAAGAGGACAGGACTGCCCTGCCCGGCAGGGTGCCCTACCTGCTTGCTGTCCTCATGCCATGGTGTGTCCATGAAGCAGTGGTGGTGGAACAGTCCCAGCTTCTGGCTGAGCAGGCAGTGCACGATGTGGGACCGGGCATTCTGCCACTGCAGCAGACGAGTAAGGGAGCAGTTCAGGTTGGCCCCGAGGTCTGGGGACCAGTTGTAGGTGTAGAGCGTCAGCTGGAGAGAGAGGAGGAGGAAGAAGGCTGAAGGACCTGCTCAGAGAGGGCCTGCATGGTGACACAGGCTGCCCCCAGGTGCTCAGGGTGGTACTTGCTGCAGCCAGTTTCAGATGACAAGGCTGGGACAGGGAGAGTGGCAACAGCTCGTTCCCAGCCTCCCTGCTAACAGGCCACAGCAGTGGTGGCGGTATTTGCACTGGCAGCACAAGTGCCCAGTCTGATATGGGCCTTGCTGTGGGTAAAGAAAGGGCACTTTCAGTCCACAGTGGGGCAGCTGAAGTCAGAGACAGTGAGGGCTGCTGCCCCATAGCACTCCCCAGAATGCTGCAGGGAACCCCCAGCTCTGCTTGCAGCACAAGCAGAGACATCCTGCACTGCTGCTTTGGAGGGCTCCTGCCTAGGAAAGGCTGGTTGCCTGCGGAAGCATTCTTCCTCTCCTCTTTCTATCCCTGGGCCAGTTGGGAACAACCTGGCTTTCAGAAAACAACCTCACACAGGCACCACTGCTACCTTTTTGTCTATGATCTCCATGAAGAGGAACCTTTGTCGGGGCGCCAGGTCTCGTCCAACAAGGTTAGGATCAGAGCCTCTCTCTGCCGAGCTGAATTCCATGGCCTCAAAGCGCTGGAGTCCTTTGTGAGCTGGAAGAAGCCAGAGTTATAACCCTCAGCACCAGTTCATCCCGCTCTTACATCCCACATGCCATTAAGGTGCCATGACAGGATGTTGTGCCACACTATGGCTCAGCTCATCTGAAATATGCAGTTATAAGCAAATTTGAGAGTAAGGGCTCAGGAGCTGAAAACAGACAACCCACTGCCCATCTCTGGGCACAAGCAGTCTGTCTCAGCAAGGAGGGGAACCCTGCTCGTACATCTCCCACCCCAAGAGCCCCCCAGCATGCAGTTCTGTGGACCCTGGCCAGGCACTCACCCTGTTCTGTGCTGCAACGCCACTGCTGGAAGTTGCGTCCCAGCAGGATGAAGTGTCTGACGGCTGCAGGGCGAGGGCTGGAGCTCTGACCAGGCTTGTAGGGCAGGAAGGTGGTGCCCCGATGGTAGCTGCAAAGAAGAGCACCAAAAGGTGGCTGACAAGTAGAGACATGGGAGTAGAGGCTGGCACAGCTGATTGGCATTTGCTGGTGTCAAACAGTTCCCTATGAAACGTGTTACTCACCAGATCTGCTCAAACACCTTGACAGTGGTGTCGCTCGCCAGGGCAGTGACCAGGCTGACCACTTCCACCAGGATGGAGGACAGGAGGAAACGGGACACAATCTCCACTGAGCACTGCTGCACTGATGGGCATCCTGCACGGAAGAAGTACTGTAGGACAAGGTTTCAAGCTGCCCCAGAGCCAAGCCCTGCCCGCCTGGGCAGCAGAGAGGGCTACGGGAGCCCCGTTGCAGGCCTGCTGCCCAGAGCAGGTCAAGTTCCTGCCTTGCCAGGGACTGAGGCAGGCAGAGCTAGAGAACAAGGACCTGATATGAAGGAGAAGATGAAGGCTGAAGTAACCCCTGGTTTCAAGCTCTGGCTTGAAGTGGGACCTGGATCAAACTCCCTGCATGCTCTGAGCACAGCACTTTATTCCCCCACTTATTCCTTTTTCCCTGGCTTACTCCTCACTGGAGGAGGAAGACAGCTCTACCTTGCCAGCAGGAGACGTACACTGATGTGAGAGCTATCCAGAATGCAGCAACAGGGCAGCCACAGACCCAAATCCCACCACATGAAGGGCATCCCTCCTCTCTCCCTCCCTTCAAGAGTGGGGGTCTCCCATACAGCTTCACAGTCCCAGGGCATATTGCAGAGGCTCAGATCCTCCCTTCCTGCTACACCTGGGAGCTAAATCACTACCGCAGCTGCTGGTGGAGTCTAAGTCTCTCCAAAGCAGTTGCAGCCAAGTCCAGCAAACCCTGGACTTAGAGCATGGCAGACACAACCACAGGCCTTAGCAGGTTTGTTCAGGTGCACAGACACATGCCATGACTCCTGCCACAGCTTTGTAATGCAGATGCTGGCCCTGAGACCAATCAGACTCTGGGGAGGTTTGGAGAGAGACAGGGTGTGTCCCTAGGTAGAGATCGGCAAGGGATGAAGATGGCTGGCTTGGTGCCATACGAGGACCTGTCCTCAAAGCTCTGGGTAGAAAGGCCCACTCCCAGCCTATCTGGAGGAGCTGGGGCCTGAGACACATACCCAGGTTGTTCATGAATGCCATCCACTGCTGGCAGGTTTGACTGAAGAGTGGGTGCATGGTACCTACATCCCCTTCTTCCAACTGGCAGGCTCGGCGCCTAGGAAGAGGAAAGGGAAGCACAATTATACCAGATCAGTCAACAGCAACAAAGTGCAATGGTCCCCTCCCAGCCCCAGAGCAAAGTGCAGGTAGCCTCCGTTTTGGGTTGTTACAGCCCTCGAGCTTGGTCCTTCTGGGTCAGTAGCCATAAGAGTGTCAGGTGTTGCACAGGGCCCCACAACGCAGCAAAGGGATCTCTGGCAGGGAGAACTAGCAGTGCTCCCAGCAGCACTGGAGCAATGACGAGCAAGGTTTTGTGTGTGGAAGGCAGCTCCCCAGCTCCCCTAACTGGCTGTGTGAGGGAGAAACTACAAAGAAAAGGGATGTGGTCCAGAGGGTTGAGACACATATAGAGCCAGCAGGATGTCAGGCTGCGGAGCAATGTACAGCAGATGGAGGGAAACACCACCCCATCTACTTGGCCTGCAGCACGTGCTTGCCTCTGTGCCTGCTCCAGTTCAGCTGTGGCTGAGGCACGATCCTGGCTCAGGTGCTGCTTGACACTCTCAGTCTTGTGTCGCCGCCTCGTGCGAGCCTCTTCTGGCCTCTCCAGCACAATGTCATCTGTAGTCTTGGGGCTGCCCAGCTCCGAGGACTCTGCCTTGCTCTAGGGAGAAGGGGGTGAGTTAAGGCTGTGCACCTGCACAGCCCAGCTAGCGCCCTGATCTCAGAGTCCCCACTACCAGCTCAGCCCCCCAACTCCAGTCAGACCCCTCCTTTCTGTTCCTCCTGGCCCGATGCACCATAAGGACTTAGAGGCCCTGCTCCCCACTGGTCCCTCAACATTACCAGCATGTCCCAGAAGCTGCGGCGTCCCAGCTTGCTCGTGGGTGTCACTGGCTCCCCAGAGCTGGATGAAGGGGCAGAAGTGAAGTGCAAGGGTGGAGGACAGCTCCTGCCAGCCCCAGCAGTGGTCAGGGCCAAGCCCTTGGTCTCCGACATGGTCCTCCTTAGACCTCCTGTGGAGACAGAGCAAATCAGACTCCAGAGCATCCCACTGCCACACACCTGGTATCCCCGGTGTACCCCACTGTGGCTGGCCAGAGCCTGGCTGAAGAGAAGGGAGATAGCCCTCAGCAACACCCAGCAAAGTAGATTCAATCTTGGGAAGCAGACACACCTTTAAATATCTCTTCTGTCCCTAATTTCTGTAATGCTTTTTCCCTGAGACATCACACAGCATAGCTTGCAGAGGGGAGAGTGGCTTCCTCCCTGTCCTGGTTTGAGCAACACAGGACTAATTTCTCTTCTAATACTTGGGAAGACTGCACTTTTAGAAGACTCTAGTGTTTGAATTTCTGAAAATATTTACTTTATAGCCAACTATGCTGTGTGGATTTCAAGGTCTCAGTGTCTTTGAGCTTGCTAGGTGCAGGGATAAGGAAGAGCGAGACCCGAGCACTTGACCCAAGCTGGCCGACAGGATTATTTCATACCGTGAACGTCACATTCAACATAAATTAGAAAGTTTGCTGTGTAGTGCTCTCTTCCTTGATGGCTGCCATCCTGAGACCTTCTTGCCCTGGTGCTGGACCCCTGAGGCCTTCCCTTCCTCCCAGATCCGTAGCACTCGCAGCGACCGACATTTGCTGTCCGCTGCTGGGAGCGCACAGCTTCCTACTGATACAACTGGCTGAGTATAATCTTTGTATATTCTGTATTGGTATCGGGATCAATATCGGTTCTTTAGTGCTATTAATGTTAATTATCTTATCCTATTCTATTCAATCTGCATATATTTCAATGCCCAGGTTTCCTTGTTTTTTCCCTGATTCCCCCTCCTGGGTGGGGAGGGCTCATCAGACAATCTTTCTATCACCTAAGCAACAATAAATTGTTATGGGTTTCTCAAACCATAACACTCCCTCCCAGCCCCCTCAGCCGCAGTTCCCCCAGCACAGCCAAGCTGAAACAAGCAACGAGTCTGGCTGGGAGCTCGGGATGGCTGCCCCGGCCGGGCTCTCACCCGCAGAGCTCAGCTCCTCCAGGTCCGCGGCACCCAGGGGGCAGGCGGCTTCCACGCAGAGTGGGGCTGGCAGCACGAGGAACTCCATGATGGCATCGCAGAGAGCATGGCGCAGGGCCCCACGCAGCTTCTCCGACAGCTGCAGCAGGCTGATGTTGCCCTTCTCCCAGATATCCAGGCGCACCAGCACGCAGGGCTCTGCGGGTAAGGGCAGTCCTGCATGGCTCTGCATCCCCACATTTGCTGGCCCTCCTAGGTGACCCAGGGGATGCGGAGGCAGCAGAGAATTGGCAGCTTGTGACCCGTTTCATTTCCTACCTGAATGTAGGGCTCCAGCCTCTGGCTGGTGCCTGCTGACCGCAGTGAGGCTTTCGAAATCGGCGTCCTGCAGCAGGCCCACAATGGGCGAGGAGGAAGGCAGCTTCAGAGGGTCAGGTCTCTCCCCGTGGGGCAGCGAGGTGGGGCTGCCGTGCTCATCCACAAATGTCAGTGCAATGCATGCGATTCCTGCGGGGGACAGCCCGAGACAGCCTCCGTCAGCCCAGCACTGGGTGCACCCTACAAGTCCCTGTCTGCAGCCTGCCACCCCGCACCTGGGACTGTTGTGTCACCACTTGGGTTGCACAGTGCCACGTGGCAGGCAGGACCCACGGGAGGGGATGCAGCCAGGGGAGCAGAGGCTAGCTGTGCCCACGGGGAGACAGGGGAAGAAGCATGGTGTCTGGCACAAGGTGTCCCCACCATTCCAAGAATCTCTCTCCTGCAGCATCACAGCAGTTTTCACCTTGTCCTGCAGGAGCTTCCTGGGTTATCCAGTCCCATATGCAAGGGGAAAGTATCTCCATTTGCCCCGGGAGGGCCTTTGTGCAGAGAGATCCAGGATGGGGCTCACCATCCCTACAGTCTCAAGGGACAGAGTACAGAACCCAGACACTCTCCAGCAGCCCTCTCTAGGCTATGAAGGATCTCAAGTCCCTGCAGAAGGCAGATGACATGTTGCAGATTACACTCACAGCCCCCTCCCCATGGTACAAGATTTGATCCTGAGGCCTTCTCCACACACTCCTACCAGCAAGGCTGGGGACAAAGCAGATGTAGTATTAGCCTGGAGTTGCTGCAGAGTAAAATTCAGGCCCTGGCTGTAGCATACCTACGCTGAGCCCTACGCACACATAACAGGACAGTTCAGAGACACAGAGAAGCAGCGTGGTGCTTGCTCCACAGCCTGTGCGCTGTGTCCCCTGGGCCACACAGAAGGAGAAGCCCTGCTACAGACCACAGAGGAAACAGGACTCACTCCCTATGGCCCAGCTTGCTGGCCAGGGCACCAGGGAAGCAGCAGCAGATGCAGTTGTGAGCTCCAAACCCCATGCTGTAAATCTAGATGCTCCCACCCCCTTTCAAAGCCCCTTGACCAACTAAGCCAGCGCTCAGGTGACTGGATGGCAAAGCTGCCCCAACACTGCCAACGGATGTGGCCAGATGCAGACCACCTCAGCCCCACAGCACTGCTGAGTCCACACCCCATCCTTCTCCACCCTAGTGACACCAGGGAGTGACACCAGACTCGCTGCCACAGAGCAACCAAACTGCACCCAACTGGATCCGCAGTACTGCATGGAGGATGGGTGCCCTCCTTGTGCTGAGACAAATCCAGCCACAGCAGACTGCGCCCAGGTGTAACCAGCAGCACAAACATCTGGTCTCCATCATTCCTAATGAAGCGTAAGCTCTGCAGCAACCTTTCCTCCAAGACATGCCAGATGGAAGGGAGAGGGCAGTGGGATGGAGAGAGCTGCTCCCAAAGGAGAGAGGCGAACATTCAAGTCAGAAGGCAGCTCACTTGCACTTACACTGAGGAAAGGAAACTAGACCTATGAGCACCTCTCCACTTGAAGAAAAGTACAGGAGTTGCCTTATCTCAGAGGTGCTCTGCAGCAGGCTGTGACATGTCTCTTCCCCAGACAGGCACAGGAATAATCCCTTACCCAGCAAATAATGGAGAAGTTCGTAATTTCCTAAATATCAAAGGTAGAGGGGACCAGGACTTCACTCAGAACAGCAAATCTGCCGCCCAGGACAGCGAGTACGAGCTTTCCCAAGCAGACTTTCTCCTTTTTAACAGTAAAGAGCACAAACTCCTCATCTGTCTGGCTTGGCAGTCAACCCTGGACCCACCAGAATAACAGTGAATATTCATGCAGGTAATGGCAGACTAAGATGTAGTTATTCCCCTCTTCTTCTCCCAGATAAACTCCCACACTGAGCCCCTTCAGCCTCCTCCTCTCTAGCAGGTTTCCCTATCATATCCATTCTGTAGCTCCGCTCTGCTTCAGTCTGTCTCAGGTGAGGACATGAGAACAACCAAGCACAATGTCCCACGTCCTCCTCATGCTGGGACACGTGCTCTAGAGAGGGAGCACCCACAGCAGTGCTTTCAAGCAGACCAGGTCAGCAGCCTCAGGAGCAGACTCCTCCTTTGCATGTGCTTCCTTGAGACAGAGCTGGTTTGCCAAGCAAATGCCAACCACTCAACAGCTGGCTCAGTCCCTCGGGGCAGAGATGACGACTGCCCCTGCCTCACCAGCAGAAAGGCTAGCCTCCCCGCTGCAGGGAACAAGGCTTCCAGTCTTGTCACAGGAGCATGGAGAAGCTGAAATGCAACCACTAAATCACAGGTGAGAAACTCAAGAAACTGAGCTCTGGGACTATGGGAAGAGGTAAGTTAGCAAGAGCTGCCAAGGACCTTTCTGCCTGCTGCACTGGAGTTTGGCTATGTACTCATCCGTTGCATCTCGTGGAGGCGTGGGGTACTAGGGAGCTGTAACCTCCCATCTGTGAGGGACGCTGAGTCCCCTCTGACTCAGGCTCACTAAAATACAAAGTACACATCTAGTGGTGCCCGGGCACTCCAGCCCACTGGTATGCAAGGGAATCCCCCACCCCAGGACAGAGCCACAGGGAGAGTGATGATGCTACACCCTAGAGCATGAAACCACACTTGAAACATCGTGACCCGCCTTCCTCAGGGAGGAGATGCCTGTTTGGACCTGTGGGGAAAAAAGGGTGAAGGATTTTTGGAGTTCACTGCTTGCAAGCTAACAGGGCAGCACACGGACCCTCGGCAGCTGGGGACTGCAGAGCTGCCATCTCAGAGCAGCAGGTTCTGTTTGCTCATTTATCCAGCCAGCAAAAAAAGAGGAGGCTCAGCTAAATGGACACACATACACAAACACACAGAGGAGTCACAGCTGAAGCCACAACACGAGGAAAACAAGAACAGCAGGGACCAGAAGGGCCAGGGAGCTGCATGGGAAAGGGAACCAGAGTAATACTTGGAGCCACAGGTGCTACCTTGGAAGTGGGAGAGTGGAAAGAGGTGCTGCACAAGGTCCGACATGGTACCTACATAACAGAAGAACATTCAGATGGTGCACAAGGGGCACGAGACACACGATGGCCAGGTGACAGACCACATGGCCTGGACAAAACACAACATGACAGCCTGCTGCAGGATGGGCCCTATCCAATCCCTCCGCCAGCAGTCCAGAGAAAAGAGCAAGGATGTTACCCCCACAGCCTGTGCTTAGTTGCTACCCCTTCACGGTGATGCTCCAGCAACAATTGTCCCTCCTCCATGCTCCAGCTCCACCGAATCTCTGTGCCCCACACTTACTGAGGTCTCACACTGTGTCTTGCCCCCACAGCTAGTGGAACCTAGAGCTGCTTCCTACGGCAACAGGCCAAGCTTAGCAAGTTGCTCTGTGGGAGGCCTTGGCTCGCTCCACCACACACGCAAAGGTGCGCAGTCCCCCAAGCACACGCCCTGCCCACCTCCCAGCCAGCAGAGGAACACGTTGCCCTGACACTGGCCCTCCTCAGTCACTCAGAGTTCTTCAATGTGGGAAATGGCTCTTCATCACGCAGCCCCATACCCTGTTTCAGAAATTAGTTGAGCACAGTACCTTTGCCACCAGTGCCTTGGCCACCTGGCTTGTTGTACAGGTAGAGATCCTGGTCAGGGATGCTCCCACTGTGGTTGAAGTAGTGCTAAGGAGAGCAAGGAAGAACGGTGACAGAGTTGCCTTAACTGGAAGCAGAGGCCCATGTGTGCGCAGAGCTCATCCCCAAACCTCTAGCAAGTAATCCAGATCTACTTAAAACACTTGCCAGCACAGACTTGGCCACTGTTGGCAGAAGGACCCTCCTACAGCTCTGTGAAGGGTTATACGGCACTACACATCTGGTCTCACCTTCTAAACTTGCTATGACCATGTAGAGGAGGTGGGTAGTTGCTCCCTAACTTTTATTACGTTTCAGTCTGAGGGAGCCACGCAAGGAACCAAGCTCAGCTTTGCAAGGGGGTCTTCTCCCATGATCCTGGGAGAAGAATGTGGGCATGAGCTTTGTCGCTACTGCATTTTGCCCAGCAAGTGACCACTTGTATCAAAGCAAGGCCTCTCCAAGTTTATACTGGGCCAAACAGGAACTGCTCATAGTCCTTGAAACTCCTCCAGGCTTCAGTATTTGGTGTCAGTTCCTCTCTGACACAACACGGCAGAGCTGGCAACATAATGACCACGCTGCCCCAACAAATGCTCCCAGCAGCACATAGAAGCTGGGCAAACTACTGGCCCAACTCACAGCCCTCCTCACCTTGAAGTGGTGCTCCACGTTGCTGTCAGTGTACTTTGGGGTGTGCAAGAAGATGAGCAGGTTCTGGCGCAGATAGTAGGCCACTGCATGCAGCCAAGGCAGGGCGGAGGGTGGCAGCGTGAACTGCAGGACCTCTGTGGGTGGCGTCCCAGGGGGCTGGATAAACTGCAGAGAGAAGGCTTTAAAACTCAGCTGAGACTAGCAGGATACCCTGGGGCTCTAACACTGATCCAAGTTACACCAGCTGGCTATGCGAAGGGAGAGTGTGGTGGGCAGAGCTCAGGTCCACAGACCATATGTCCCTGGGACACATGCAGGCAGGTGTTCCAGGGGTATTTGCAGGGAGGCCCTGCCATGCTGCAAACCCCAGCAAAGGGGATCTCCCACCTACCCTGGCACCCGCACAGTATACACCTCGGTGAACGCTAGCCTGAGCAAGCACTGGAGCAGGGAACGGGAAGCAGCAAACTGCCCTGGCCTTCCCTGCCCTGGGGCAGGAGAGGCTGAAACAGGTCAAAAAGTAGGAAAGTGTTACGGCCTCTGGGATGAGCAGAGCAGATATCCAGTGAGGTACCTCCACATCTGCTGGGGTCAGCTTGCAGTTCCGCACCAGCATGACAGTGATGATATCCAGGGTGGCCTCATCCAGGCGTCTGCGCAGCACTTTCACCAGTTCATCTGTGATCTCAGGCCCTGACAAGTAAGCAGAGGCACGAGCAGCTTTTTCACCCCATCCAGTAAGAACGAACAGAGCAACCCCTCCCTGCCTGGTCAGGATGTACCACCCTCACAGTCACTTTCCACAGGGAACATATCTTTCCCCGCCATCAATTTCTTCAGGCATCTTTTTCTACCTGTTCATGATCACAAAAGACTGCTGGTGCAGCAGGCAAAGACAAATGCACTCCTGCATAGGGAAAGTTGGCATAAGCCACCCAGTCTACAGGAGGTTTCACTGTGGGCCACAGATCGTCTCCCCACATTCCCATCCAGACAGAACGGAGAGCACCTCTGGGCTAATGAAAAACCAGCTTGCTCTGGAGGGAGATACTTTCTCTGCTCTTCAAGCCAAGAGGGCAGGGGCTGGAGCTCTATTCCTCTGCTTTGCATCGGCACAGTCCATCCGCTGGCCAGGTGCCATAACACTCACCTGCTGGGGCAACACCATGGACCATCAGCTGGATGTGTCTGTCCACCTGTCCCACAGGGCGGGCAGAGTCCACACTACGGCACGAGACTGTGTCCAGAGAGGAACGAGAGCCCTGGAGAAGTAAAAAAAAAGCCACACGGAAGTCATTTCCATGTGAATTCTAGATCCACCATTGTCTCAGGCTGTCAGTAAGGTCAGGCAGAACCCACCCACTGCTGCCCACTCCACACATCTACAACATAAGTTTTATCCTCCATAAAATCCAGGCTGCTGGAACTACTACGTTCCCTCCACTCCTGTGACCAAGAGCACCAACATCCACTCCCAGAAAGCAGCAGACTCACCATCAGATCCTCAGTGTAAATGGGCTCCTGGCTGCGTGTCAGTGCCAGCGAGCGAGACGCTGGACTAAGGCTGCTCTCTGATTCCCACACCTTCCCACTGTAGGTGGTTTCGGTCAGTCTGAACACAGGAGAAAGACAAGTCAGCCTCCATTCCTAAGGATGACAGCATCATACCTCCACAGAAGATCCACATCTTCCTTGCTCTCCCCCGTGCACTTTCTGGGGATTAGTCCTTAGAAGATGGAGCTTGTGGAAAAATTGCTGTCTGGCTCCCTCAAAAAACCCAAACCCATAAAATCATCTTTTTGCCTCCCATGTAAAGGCTTAGTGCAGGGAGAGCTGGAGGGACCTGGCTTGATGTGACTTGGACTCATCAGAAACCAGATATTTGCTGCTTGGGTCACAGAAGGGTCCCTGAGGCTGGGCAGACACTTTCTGCCCCAAGGACCTCTCAGTCTGGTGTAATGCATGTAGCAGGGCAGGCTCAGGCCAACAAGTCATGCTGGCATCTTACCGGAGGTAGAAAACAGATTTAGTGGCACGTTCCTGGTAGACAAACATGTTCTTCCTGTTCACCACAGAGAAGGCATTGAGCACTGAGCGAAGTGCCTGGATAGCTGTGGGCAATATGGGATGTTAGCTCCTCTGGTGTGCCAACCCAGCCAGAAGCCAGCCTCTTGATACACAAAATGAGGGGGAACCTGGGCTGTACACACCTCGTGAGACTCCCATGTTGGGGCCCATCTTGAGGCGCGAATGCACATGGATGAGTGTGCTCCACACAACATCACAAGCAAAGTGACCTGGCATGAACTGCATGGTGGCAGCCAGGTAGTCCCGGGGCTGGTAGCTCTCCTCTACAGAGTAATCTATAAAGAACATAGGACATAGCTGGGGCCATAGCATGGAAGTCACCATCTTTTTAGACATCCATGGGCAGGCAGTGGCACTGCTGCTGAGGCATGGCCAAGGGCATATTCATACCATCTGTGGGCATGACACGCTGCCTGTAAGAAGTATAGGGCGTTTCACTCTTCCAGATGTCCTCCTCACTTTCTGCCACCAGTAATGAGTTACATATGTGGCTGTCATGCAGGTCTTGCAGCAGCAAACGCTGGAGAGGATAAGAAAAGATTGGTTCTGTTGCTTGTACAGCTCACAGAAGACAGCACAGAGAAGGGCTTTAGGCTGGACTGAGTCTCTTTTTCTTTGACCCCCAAGCTGAGACTCCACCAGCTGAACTGGCTCCCCAGGCCCTCCTCTGAGCTGGACCCAGACCAGACAACCTCCAGAGGTCCCGTCCCATCTAAGCCATCTCATAACTTGCAGCTCTGACCCTGCCCCCTGCAGATTTGTTACCTGATTGACAACCCTGCAGATTTCACTGATCTTCTTCACCACCACCTGGTTGAGACTCTGGCACTCCCCTGGCTGCTGCTCTTCTGTCTCTGCCAATGCTGCCTTCTCCACACTCAGGCTGCTTTACAGGGAAGGGGAGAGAGGGGTCAGCAGAGCACCTGAACAGTGCCTGCCCCTGTATGCTGGGAGCAGGAATACAATGGGGAAGGGTGGTTGCTTTCCCCTTATGGAGCGAGCACCAGTCTACTTCTGCAGCTCCCCACCCACATGGGGCAGGAAGGAGATCCTGTCCAGGAGATAAGGGAGTGGCAATAAGATCCTGATACAGAGAAGCCACGGCCAGACAGCGGGACCCTCCTTACCGTGTGTGGTAATAGACCTCCACTCGGTCCTGCTGGATTTTTATGATGAGCCAGAAATCCGGCATGAGGGGACACCTGGGTTCCTGGTCGCTCATTAGCGCCTCCTCATACTCTGAGTCACTGCTTCCCCCATCGTAACCTGCAACGTATCCTCACTTCAGTCCCAGGCTGCCTGGCAAGCCAGCCTCCTCCCCGGGTACAGCAGGCTCTTGGAGATCAGAGCCATTCACAAGCCCTGTCCTCAGGGGTCACCCCAACCCAGGCACACAGTCCTCCATGCCCCCACACTATCATGTCACTGCCAGTGTCTGCCTGCACGCTGTCAGTCACCTGCACGCTATCAGTCACCCCTGCCCCAGCAGACTCACCCAGGTGGTCGGAGTCCATGCTGCCCTGGCTCGACACAAGGCTCTGCACGCGGCTGGGACGCTGCTTGCTGGAACCTGCAAAGAGAAGAGGGGTTTGATCATGGAGAAACATCACAGCACAGGACAACCAGGCAGCGCTGGCCATGGGGAGGCAGTGCTGGGGTTCTCGCAGCCATTACTGGAGTCACCAGGAACTTCATGCCATTAGGGGGATCGGTGCGGCAGCACAGCCTAGTACCCTGGGTACTGTTAAGCAGTGAATTGCCAGCACCCTGGCAAGGAAGAGACCAACAGTGCAACACCACCAATTCTGGTGTTTAGGGACTGTAACAGTCATGTTTTATATGCTACAGCCAAAACGGGGCCCTTCCCTTAGAAGTCGCTGAGGTTGAGGTACATCCTGCCTGCACTCACAGCTCCTACCTTCCCTGCTCTGTGTTACGGAGTCAGCCAGGCTTGCTGCAGATGGCGTCACCAATGGTGATTTCTCACTGTTGCCCTTTTCAGAGGATGAGGATGGCAGTGACTGTATGGTTGTCTCTAGCGCTGCCTCCTCCAGGGAGTCGTGGCCAAGTGCTCTGCTCTGCTCAAGGCTCAGTGCTTCTCCTGGGACCTGCACACAAGCCAAGGTTGCAGAAATGACCAGAAAAAACAGGCACCGAAAAAAGTTCAACCGTATTCCCGCATCCTTCTACCTTCTGTTACCAGTGTCCCACACCTTCCCACCAAAAGATCACCTCAGTGTCTCTCACCTCATCCTGTGCGTGGCTGCCTCCACGTATGGGGTTTCCTGTGTCTGGCACAATACGTGTTTCACTCTCCGGCCACCCCCAAAGACCCTGGGCTTCTTCTGGGAGGACACAGCTTGCATGGTGTAGCTCAGAGTCCTCTGCCTCTGCTTCACCGCTTCCCTCCTGGGCTGCCTGGCCCAGGGCTGTCCTGGTGCCCCCTCCAGCAGGCTGCTGCAAGCAGGGTGTCCCCGAAGGGTTTGGAGCTGCCCGCCTGGAGTGCAGGCGGCTGATGGAGATGTAGTGGTAGTCACTGCCTTCTGCATTGAGCATGTAGCCCGGCAGAGCCATTCTTCTGAACTCCTGCAACACAGGGAAGAATAAGCACCCCGCTAGTTAAGCGTATGATGCTGCCTCAGGGCTTTCTCTTTACCTCCTTGAACTTCTCCAGAGAGTGCTCAGGTCCAAAGACAAACTGGAGCAGCACCACTTCACTGTGGCAGCTGGGCCGTCCCTTTGAGTTATAGATGTGGGTGGCCACTCGGTGCAGGATAGAGGTACTGATGACCTGCGAGTGGCGCAGTGCAGACACAATCTCATCATCCAGGAGCCAGCGAATCTGAGCAGAGCAAGGACACAGTGCAAGACCTAGGTGACCAGTATTTGCACAGCTGCTCCAGTTCTGATCCAAACCCCAATAAGTATGAGGGCAGTCCCTCTCATCACCTACATCCCCTTATCTCCTTCTGAATGTACCTAAAAAAAGGTCTTTGGAAGACAGGTCTGTCTGTCCCACCCCAACTGCAGTAAGAATTTTCTCAGGGTAATCCCACACTTTTGGAGAGCACAAGGCCCATGGCCTGTGTGATACCAGCAAGGCCTGAAAGGCACTTCAGTTGCAGCTTGGAGGAGGCAAGGAAGTGTGGAACAGCAATTGTGTGCTGTGGCTACATTGCTCCAGCTGGAAGCAAGAAGTAAACAAGGCTGGCTTACCTCATTCATAGTGGCTTCAATAGCCTGCCTGTGCACTCCAGGGAGGTTGGAAAGCGCAGGGTGCCTGGGAGAGAGGAGAAGAAGGATCAACCAGTCATTCTCATTTACGCAGCCACCACAGTGCAGCTCCTAGGCAGCAAAAAGAACCCATGAGGAACTTGCTACTTCTGCAGTGCCATACCTCTCATCTCCTGTGGATGGGAGCCGTTCCAAGTTGTGCATGATATCTTCATCTGAGCGGAAAGAGGACGGCTGCCCTGGAGAGCGTGTAAAGGACACGCTGCTCTCCGAGGTGCATCTGCCACAGGAGAGAGCAGGCTGAGCATCAGCTTTTGAGCCAGAGAAGATAAACAGACAGAGGCTCCAGAGAGGAAAAGGGATCTCTGGAGAAGGTGAGCCCATCTTGGAAAAATCTTAGTTTTCTTAGGGCTGTGATAGGCTCTGTGAGGAGAATCCCGAGTCTCAGCACATGCAGAGGAGCTGAAACTGGCTGGCCGGGAAGGGCAGACAGTGGGTGAGTGACTGGGCCTCTTTCTACCTACCTGTTGTGGAGAATGTCTGTGTTCACAACTTCTATCTCCAGGGGCAATGTCAGCACAAAGATGTCCAGGGTCACACAGAGGTCTCCCAAGTCGATGGTGTTCAAGCCCTGGCAGCTTTCCAGGCAGCCCAGAACTTCCCCTGAGGAGAGATCACAGACAAAGGGAATCAAGCAAGGAACAGCTCTGCTTACACACATACACAGCCTGGTGGCAAGTACAGAGACTGCAAGAGGTGGCTGTCCCACACCCCTGGAGAGGCTCAAGAAGGCCACCAATCTCCACGATCCTTTCCTCCTTTCCCGATCAATCCCACAAAGTGGGAGACCTGGTGAAAAATCCCTTGTCCGATACTGGGAGACCCTGGGGGTTCCGTAAAGGGAGGGCTGGTCCAGAGGGACTGCTGTTTAGGGCACAGCATGTTTGTTCCAGGGACTGCTCACCCAGCAGGGACCTGACAGAAGCCTTACTGCCCTTTAACCTCACAGCAAGGCTTGCTCTTACCTAGACAAGTTGGCAGGGACTGCACGGGCATCGAGCTGTGCTGGCTACGCAGCTTCACTGAGCAGGTGAGGTGTACGAAAAGAGGAGGCATCTCCTGCTCCAGGAACTCCTGCTCATTGAGCGAGTCCCCTCCCAGCACACTGAAGGAGTCATCATCCTGGTTCACTGTGTTGGAGTCCGAGAGGGAATCTGTATCTGGGAACTCATGCTCCAGCTTCTCACGGTACTCCACCTCCAGCTCTGGGTCGCTCTCTGTGGCAATGCAGCACCCAGATACAGTTCCTGTTGGCACAGGTTCCCTGTTAGCAAACCTGTCCCATGTCCCAAGAGAGCCCACCAGACACAGTCAAGCTCTGAAAGGCATCACCACAATCAGGCTACAGACACTTTCTTCTCCAGGACAGAGCGAGCAAATGTTACCTTCTTCAGCTGCCAATTCTGCCTCTGATCCCTCCATGTCCTCACTGCCTTTCCTGTCTGCCTGATCCCGAGATGCCTCTTCCTGAGATGGAGAGAGGAAGGGCAGATACTAGAACCATGCCAGGCAGCGAAGCGGGCTGTTGAGAGCCCTCCTAGGGGCTCACTCTATCCATGGGTCTGCCAGCCCCAAATCCAGATCTGACACTAAGCAAAGCTACTTCCCCCCACAAGAACTAGGTGCCTGCCACAGCAGCACCACGCTTACCTCTTTCTTGGCCGATGGCGGGCAGTAGAAGAAATAGTGAGGATTTGATGGCACTGGCTTGAAATGTAAACTTCCAATTTCCAGGAATTTTTCCTAAAAGAGAAATCCCAAACGTGAAGCAGACATTCTACTCTACTATCCTGCAGGAGCGAAGCCAAGCTCCTATGTTCCTCACCTGGATAATTTTATGTAAGTCAAGGTGTGCCTGGCAGGGCTGTCCAATTTCCAGCAGCGAGAGGGGAAACTCTGAACAGCAGCTTGTGCCCATACTGTTCTTTGGCTCCTCTGTAGGGCTCGCAATGTTATGGGAGTCCTGCTCGCTGTAGTCCTCCATTTCCGCACTGACAGGATTGTGGACAGGTCAGACAGGCAAATCAAGAAACAGGAATAGTTATATGTATTAGCTACCCTGCTAGCATCCCACCTCACAGCTCCCCATACCTCATCTGTGTAAACACGATGTGACTTAACCCCCACCCCTACAGCCCCAGAAACTCTCCTGCCACCCACTAACCCAGATAAGCGCTCAGGCTGTCTGAAGCCAGGCCAGAGGCAGTTTAACCACACTGATCCCATAGCCAGGTACTCTACACCACGCTACACACCCTCCTTGGGAAATAGAGATGTGGCTGAGTACAGTGACGGGCCTGGAGCAATCTGAATTACCAACAACTAGTTCAGGGCACCTCACAGCAAATACCACTACGTCAGCATCTCTAGTGTCTTGGCAGCCCAGAGCAGAGCACAAAGCTCAGGCCCATGCTCACTCAACAGGTCCGTGACAGAATCAGTTTCTAAAACTCAGAAAATGCAGTCTGGAGAGTGGGATGTCATTTGGTCAAAGAATTCCCAAGGTATTCAAATTAGTAATACAGACGGCAGATCTGGATGCAATGTGTCACAAGCTGTACATCCTTCAGTAATGTTTATACAATTTGCACTGGAATAGGTGATTTGTAGTATCTTATTAAAAAAAAAAGTTCACACAGTTTTTCTCTGGGAAAGTAGCACTTGAAGAAGTCATCTGACATTCCAAACACTGGGTGTTTTTCAAATCCACAGCCTCATCTCAATGACTTACAGTATAAGAAGAAATAGAATTGGGGATTCCCAACAAATGCTAGTGAATTCACACAAAGGAACTGAGGATAGTCAAGTGCAAACAGAGGACAAAGGACCCAAAGAGGGTGTTTCTTCAACAGACACTAAGGCATAGTAGAGTACTTTTTTCCCCTCCTTAAGTTTACAGAGGCAATACAAACCTCAGAAATACACTAAGGAACAGCAGGACAGAAGTCTAGCATCAAGCATATTCCAATTCTGTCTTGATACTTCTCTTGTGAGGGTTTGTTTGGTTTTTTTCCCCAAGAGTTTTAATTAATAAAATGACATTCTATTCATAAGAAAAAAGATAACAAACCTGTCATTTTCACCAGAGTCAACAGCAAACTCAAATGAGTAAAGCAGCAGGATATGTGTAATTTCTCCAGAAAAAAGTCTGAGAGTTACTTGCAGACAAACTGCCCTCCAGCTCAGGCCAGATGGGACAGCAATGAGCTAAGACTACAAGAGAAAGTGAAAGGATGGATGCCACTAGAGATTACAAAAAAGAGAAGGTCCTGGTGGACACCATACCAGGTGCATATCCCGCTGGAAATATCTGTCCTTACATGTAGCTCTGTTAGACCCTGCCCTACAACATTCCTTCTAGCAGGCAGTAGGAGATGATTGAAGACAGACCTGTGCTAGCCCAATGCTAAGAACAGAAGCATGACCGAGGTGTGCCCCTACCTTGATTCAGAGACCAAGACACCCCGTTCCCTAGAGTTCTGCTCCTCTTCTTGCTCTATGCTGCCCACTTGGAAGCTGGCTGTCTTGGAGTGAGTACAGAAATGTTGGTGGCTCTCTCGGAATGAGCGGACATGGCTGCACACCGTCAGCAGGAAGTTGGTGATATCAATCTCTTGGAGCAGCTCCTCACAGTAGTCCATGGCTGTAAGTAGGTCCTGGGAGTTGATGCTGTGTGACTGCTGAAGGCTCTTGAACAGCCCTAGAGATCAAACACAGTTCCTGAGCACCCCACTGCAAGGCCTCAGGACTCGGGCAATAGCCACATACAGATTTTTACTGAGTCCCAGCACAGAGTTGCAGTCAGCACAGGCGCTGGGAGAGGAGACTCAGCCAGGATGTCTAACGGTACATGTTAGCCTGGGCTTGCATCATGCCAGAGCGGCCTAGGGATCTGCCACCCCGAAGGCGAGAGGAAAAAGTCAAAGAAGGAACCTCCCTCCACAGCACTGCACAGGTCCAGGAACAGCCTATACAAGACCCATAGGGAATGCGCAGAGGCATCTTTAAATTCCTCCTGGTGGGAGACCAGTCCCACAGCCCCTCCCTTTGCTCAATGTCAGGTCAGAAGAAAAATGAGACATTGCTTTCTTAAAAGAAGATCCAGGATCCAGCCCCAACCCTGACCCTGCCTCAGCTCCCATCGCACCGCTCCTCACCTTTCACATAGCACTGGTGGGAATGCTCCTGCAGCAGCGTGCAGTAACTCACCAACTCCTTATGCTTGTGGTCTAGCCAAGCAGCAGTAGGAGGACGTTCTAGAGACTGGGACCTGGAAAAGAGGAGCCGCTGCCTTCAGGACCAATGAAGCACAATTCAGGCTATAAACGGCTCTGGCGCCAGTAAAACAGGGCCCTAAGGCACGCACAAGCTGTGGCTGCTCTAAGGCAGAGAGGCCAAACCTAGAGAATAAGGCAGGGCAAGAGCCAGCCTCTTGTCAAGGAAGTTCCCGTTTCCTGTCTAGGAATCAGGTATGGTTGGTATTACCTGAAAAAGATGTCCCGAGGAGGACGGTGCATCCGTGGGCTGACAAGCTGCTCTCGTAACAGCTCCAAAGAGCAGCTGTAGATATAAATGGGGCAGCGAAATCGGCGGCACTCGCCTAGCTCAGATTGCGAGCTCTGGCGACAGAAGGAGATATGTACATCTCTCCGCGAGGGGCCACCCTGTTCTCCAGGGTCACGGCTCACTTCTGCAAAAGAAACAATCCTGAGATAAAGGCCTTAAATGGGCTCCTTGTTCCTAGTCTCAGAGGTCACAGCCCTCACAGCAGCAACCACAGGTAGGTATCGGTTTTACAAGCTTCTCACCACTCAGATCTCAGGGGCCACTCTCCTCACCCAGCACCCAACCACTCAGCACAATGATTTGTTCAACCACACTGATCCCCTTTTTGGGCAGTGGACTGTTCACCACCACCACCTTCTGCAGCAGCACAACCTTACATCCAATAAGGACGCACCAGGGGCTGTGCAGTCAAAACCCATACACCTCAAGACCTGTGCCCTTCTCCCTAAGACAATGCGCTGCTGCTGGTAGTGCCAGTCTGGATCCTGACACGAGAGTCACTGACCTTCCAGTGCAGCCCAGTAGTGCCATTCCTAGGAGCTTCTATCTACTCGCAATCTCCTAGCCCACAGGGAACCATCCTCAGGCAATGGGCACTCAGCTCACATTACACTCCCTCACCCCCACGTGAATATCATGAAAGCTGTGCCCCTTGTCCTGACTCTGACTCTGCTGACTGCCAGGTAGGAGCTGATAGGCTGTAGCAACCTGTTATTCCTCCTACCTCAATCTGCCCCCCAGCGTGCTTGGGAATAGCAAGGATACTAATACTAATACTTTAGCAAGGTGCTGTCCTGAGGGCGGTACCATGGGCTGGTGTTATGCTGAGGGTAGGTAATGGCACTGCAGCATCCCCTTCTTCAGCCTCAGCCCCGACTCGCTCTGCACAGACAGGTCCCAGTGTATCCTCTCCAGATCGGCTCTCATCTTTTGGAGGTTTGTCCAACCCACAAGCCATCAGCTTCTGCACATTACATCTGGAAGAAAACAAAATCACCCTCTGTCCAGTGAGAACAGTTTAACGCCTCCATCCTTACTCCAAGAGGACAGATGTCCCTGCTACCTCTTTGTGTGTGGGAGCAGCTCCACATAGTAATTCCAGCTGAGCCTAGCAGCCTTCACCAGCAGCTCAGTGGAAGCCAGACCTGTGCCAATGCCCAGAAGCTGGGACTCTCAGAGACCATCCCATTAGCAGTCTCCTTACTCCATTCATTAACAACCCTACTGGGAAAATGGTCCAATGGTTGCAGCCAGCAAATGACTTGAAGCCACATCCCCTGACTTGAAGCCACATCCCCTGTCTGAAAACACCATGTGGGCAGCACCAAGAAGAGAAGAGCAAGACATTCAGCACTTCACACCACTCTATTCCTGGCCATATGGTGCAAAAAGATTGGGTCTAGACTCCGCTGTTCAATTTCCTCTCCATCCTACCAGAGCTAATTCTGGTTTTCCTGTTTTTCTGAGGAAACGCTTGGGACTGCTATCTCCTCCCGCTCCCCACAACAGGCGGCCTCACCTGAGAAGGTGGCTGGCAGGAAGGTCAGGAACACATGCTGCGGGTTGACCAGTTTGGCATAACATCGCCATTGTGCAGGAAGGGGCCCAGTTGTGTCACTCAGGGTCACGTCATCCTCAGGCAGCTCTGTGTTGCCAAGGCTCTGATGAAAGAGCAGAAGCTGGATAAGCTCATAGCACATGGCACAGGCCTACCTTGAGGCAGGTAGCAACCACACAGAGCAAGTTCCTCCATGACTGCTGGTTGGCACAGCGCTGAAATCATCCTGATCATCCCCTGCACCATTCTCGGAGCAGCCTGGGTCCAGCACAGTCAGGAGATGCTTAGCCAGCTTTGCTGGGGCCAATTCTGACCTCCAGGCAGTGACTGGCCGTGGTCTCTGAGCAATCTGTAGCACAGCATCAGTGCTGCTGTAACAGGCTAGGCCCAAGGTGAATGCAAATATCCACACACCCACCAGATTCCTGCTGGATTTCAGCCACAGACTACAGCTTAAACTGCTGCCAAGCGTGGGGAAAACACCAGCCTTTGTATCTGTTCCCAACCCTTCTACTAACTTTCCTGCTCTTCAACAGCTGCTGCTTTGCCTTCAGAGCAGGCTCAGGGGAAGGACAGCAGCACAGCAGTACCTGAAGAGTACTTGTGGAACCAGTCATATCCCTGGTGCCATTGCTGCCAACAAGGTGATAGGATGCAGAAGCATCCTGCTGCTCCAGGGTCCCAGAGGCTTTCAGGGTTTCTTCTGAAACGGAGCACACAGAAACCAGCTTGAGAAACACTAGCTGAGGAAGACACTTGAAAGCAAGGCTCCTGAAACACCCCAGCTCCTGGTGTCACTGCTGCCATGCTCCTGGCCCTTACCTCTGATGACAGGGAGTGTGAAGGGGGGTTGATGGCCATCACGATCCCTTTGCAGAACCTGCTCCATGAAAGCCACATGATCACCATCAGCCATGGGGATCTCCCGGTCACTGAGGTCATGCTGCAGGCAGCCATGGAAGAGGTTTAGTAGCATTTCATTGGGCACAAACGAAGAGTCCTTGGTCACCTCCTCATTCTCTGCTCCAAAACAGAACCATGGCAGCTTCAGAGACAGCATCTCCACAATCACCACCTGCCCAGGCCCCCAGGAGACAGCCCTTTGCAAAGCCAAGAGTTTACCTCAGCACCTCTACAAGGCTGACTTGGAGGGTGTTGAGGAAGCCCTGGAGTTCCAGCATCATTAGCTACCCTGCACTGACTCATGCTTCTACTCGAACTGTTCTTGAGGTGTTTGGGGTTAAAGACAGAAAACTACCACCACGGAGCAACAGTCTAGGTTTAATGTTTTCAAAAGCAATTCTGCCAAAACTATCATCCCAAGAAAGACAGCAGTAAACATGGACAGCTCAGGGGCTGCAGAGATGGCAAGAACTGCACTGAGCTGTTGAAAGAGGCATGGAAGCTCTCACATGCCTGCTTCCCAGGGAGACACGCACAGGGAGCAGGGTGCCCATAGCCATGGAGGGAGGACAAGAGGAGGCAGGTGGTGAAGAGGTACCTACCTTTTGTCAGCATTAGGAAGAACATTTCAACCTGCTGGCACCTGGGCAACAGCTTCATGAGGTTGAACTGGAATGGGATCTCATGCACTCGAAAACCAGCTCCCATGTCTGGATCTGCAACAAGAATTGGGAATGTAACACGCCCGTGGGCACCACATTGCCCTACCTCCCAGGCCACCTCCGCATGCATGGTGCCAGTCCTAAACACGGTGCAGGTAGCACAAGTGAAGGTACATAGCAACACTGTCCCAATTCCCTTTGCTTAGGAGGGCAGAGTGATACGAAGAATGAATGTGGGGAAAGGGCAAAGCCTGCCAGAGGCTGCAGCAGGTTGTGAGCTACCTACAGAGAGATACCTTGCTGCAGGAGTCCCTTGGGCTTATTGCCACCTTTATACAAGGAGGGACAGGGAGCCACCACGAGGCCTTAACACAGCTTGGGCCCAGAGCTGCCAGAGGACAAAAACTGAACAGCAGCGTCGCAGGTAACAATGCTGGAGAGCAATGACCACGCTGGGAGCCAGAGGCAGCCTGAATTACCAGCACAGTTAGGGACAAGGACCCCCCTGCTCTTGGGAGACATCTCCCATCTGGCAGGCATTGCATATCCCTGCAGGTGTTTCCTGCCCTCTTCCTCAGGAAGAAGTCTCTGCCCTCCAGGCTCTGAGCTTTCCTGGCCCTCTTCCCCTCCCACAGGGCCAGTGATATGATCCAACAGGGTTCCCTCAGGACTTGCCCTCAGCCTTTGGGATGATCCTGGCTCCCTCAAACCCACCCAATATCTGCTGTGTTAGTCACTGCAAGGTAAGCAAACAAAAGATCTAGGATGGGGTGAACTAGTGACAAGAAAGTAAAAACAGTGAGTTTCTGGAACAGATTGCCTGACAAGGGTGAACCCCCCCACATACTCCTGGACTTCTCAATGAACTATGTTAATCATACCAGATCAGATACACAATCTTATCCTGAAGGAAAAGGACAGACCAGACCTCCTAAGGTCCCCTTCCCTATCTTTGTGGGCTAATGGAGCATTCACAGAGGATCCAGAGATGAACCGGACTACCAGAAAGCAAGCATCCCACAAACCGCTCTGGAAACTGTGTCTTGCAACTGAGAACAGAGGAGCTCTTCCTTCGCATCATTTACAACTTCTGTACAACCATCTGCCCAGGCATACCCTGCCTGTCACCACATAAGTGAGCTCATCTTCCATCTGCTCCAGAAGTCAGCCCCTCTTGCAGAATTACAGAATGGTTGAGCTTGTAAAGGACGTCTGCAGGTCATCTGGTCTAACCCCCCTACTCAAGCAGGGTCACCTAGTCATCTCTCCAGCCTGGGTAGAAAGCCTCAATGCTTTTTCGGCCTTCCCAGAATGAAGGCATTTCTCTGGCAGCTTAGCACAAGTGCAACAAAGTGACCCACAGCCATCAAAGTCTAGCAAGTTATTGCCAAAATACCCATTCAGCCTTCCAGAAACCTCTAATGACCCCTGAGACATTAAGGGCCTAGCTGCCTCTTGCTTCATCAAACCTGCTAGATCGTATATGCTGGACTCACCTTCAGTAGCTTTGGTGTCTGATGGAGGGCAGACCCACTCCTTGTTCTGGCACAACTGGCTGATGTACTCGAAGGTCAGCATGGTGGCAATGCACGCAAGGTCCCGGGGATAGAGCTGCAATAAGCAGTCAAGGCTCAGCTGTATGCAGCAGAATTATTACCCCCAAATGCAGGACAGAACAGTCTAAAAGCAAAGAGAGGAAACACCCATAATCCCATCCCCTGACTTGACCTATTCTCACTCATTGTTCCCTCCTCTTCCACCAGCCCTTTAGTCTCTTTTTGCCTTGTTCAGGAGGTGCATTCGCAGTACTGCCTGCAATACCTGCTCTGGTTCAGCTTGCTCCCCTCCAATGGAACGGCTCTTGATAAAGTGATTTGTATTTTCCCACCTATCCCAGAGCAGCACTGCATCCATTGCCTTGCAATCCAGAACCCTTTACTGTCTGGTAGCCTGGTTCCTCTTCTAGAAATCTCAGGCTCTTTTGTCAACGGCACTCCCATCTCTTCTGGCCCTCAATAATTCACCTTCAGTGTTGTAGTGCATTTGCAATAAACCTTCCTCCCCCCAAAAAATAGCCCATGCCATTACCCCAACAGGAACTCACCGCTTTAGGTATTTTTTGGTAGGGTAAGCCATGGAGGTGCTTCCAATTCTCAGCAGTGCTGTGAACATGGCCGCTCTGTGGCTCTACCCAGCACTCAGTGACCAGGTTCAGTTCAGTGTCCACTTCAATGGCCTCTACCTCCGTATCATTGTCATCATCTGTGGAAAAGCTGGAGGAAAGACATAAGGCAAGTCCTGCGAGATTGCCCAGAGCCAGCAGCCCACTGCACCTTCTCTCAGAGCTGTAAGAGCAGCCACACAAACCCTAGGTTTGCAAGCAAAGCCCCAGCTAACTGGTGATCAATCCATGAAAACTAATTCTCTGCACTAGATGATGGAGGACTCCCTCCTTCCCACAGTGCTTGCAAACAGAAAGACTGAAGCCATGACTCCACTGCCAGCCCTCCCTGGGAGCAGGGCAACAGCCTCACCTGTCCTTGGTGGAGGTGGAATGGGGTGGGAAGAGGATGTATTGGACGACACAGGTGTGCTTCTCCCTGCCGCTGCTGTTCTCACTTGAGCCGTCAATCTGCAGGGGAGACACTGTGTGAGCCTGGCCAGCAGCAACAGCCCACTCCTACCCAGTGCCCCCCTACCCAGCACAGCTTCATCACCCAGCTCCACTAGTAGTGGCAGAGAGTGGGAGCCTGTCCCAGCCCCAAGAACTCCTCCACCACACCACGTCCACACCAGCAAAGCAGGTCTCTAACTGCAGATGAAGACAGGAAAATGCCCAACCCAGGAGTTGCTTTACTTCAGGGGAGGAGGCAGGTCTCCCTGTACATGTTGAGAGTGTGTGCTAGATGGAGATGGGAAATTCCATCACAGGAAGGTGAACCCACCTCAGAAGAGGCAATGAAGGATTGTGCCCACACTGCAGCACCCAGGCTCACCTGTATGGGCAGCTCCAGGACCATGTTGATAATTCCATCCCCACTGGATGCAAAGTGGAAACCCTCCGACAGACGAACCCTGGCAACAGAGAGGCAGTCAGACATGGAGGACTTCACCCATACTGCAAGCTTTAAATACTAGAATGACTGTATCCTTCACCCCATAACACCTTCCTTCCCAAGACAGGGAGCTACACACAGAGAATGGAGAGATGTGATGCTTTGCACAGGACAGCCTGTGTAAAGATCAGCATACTGCAGGCACATTAACTTCTTGCCCTTTTGTATGTTTTCCAAGACTCTTTTTCCTCAACTGCAGCTGCAGAAGTGGGTAAACCACTAACCCAAGTCACTCTAGAAGCTGTGTACAGGACCAAAACCCTTTGCACAGCAGCTTCAACTATTACCTATAATAAGGCCTCAGATCCACCCTGCCTTCTCTGCATCCCCAGGACTAGCTGGGGAAAGCATCCCCGTTCAGGTGTGCAACTTACTCTGTGAGTGTGGAAAGGAGCTGGGCCACAGCGGTGATGGGCACAGCCGGTGCCAGTCCTGACTGGACACTCCAAATCCATCGTTGGTGATAGAAGTAGCGGGACAGCGAGGCCAAGGTGGAAGAGGCAGTACGGTTGGCCACCATAGTGAGCGGGCCAGACACTTGGGGATGCTCCAGGTTGAGAATGAAGGGGGCTCGATAGTCAGAAGGCAGCTTCTCATACCTAGGAAACAGCAGAAGGGTGGCTCTCTAAGGTGGAAAGAATGCTATGCTCAGGGCCAGAGCCGTCTGGATTCACAGCCCGCTTGCTGGGCCCAGGACAGAGCCCCCCAGCAGGAGAACACGGCTAGCCCAGCACAGGATCCTGCTCAGACAGCAGTAACTAGATTTCCTTCTGCATCATATTAGTTAGGAGTAACAAATCTGCCTGTCCAGCAAGGCCCCCTGCGGCAAGTCACAGCCCTCCCAGACTACAGCTGCCCTTCCCAGCCATGCAACCCAAACCCACCCCAACAAGCACCAGCTCCACAGCACTCTCACCCTGCAACTGGCAGCACCATCCACAGACCCTCCTCTCTCCCACTTCCCAGGGGAAGGGTGCTGTGCTGATGGCGTGGATCTCCATCACTACCTGATGAGTAGCTTCTCCAACGGTTTGTGCAGCACAACAAGGCAGGGTCTGTCCGAGAGGGCTGACTGGGCCCCAGCCACAGGCGGAGACTTGGAGGGTGAACTACTGCCAAACATTTTCCTCTTTGCTTTTGGAGTTGCCTCCTTGCTCTGGACCCTGTGGGGAAAGCGCAGCTGCAAGATTCGGTCCCGTAACTCCTCCACTATCTGTCATGGCAAAAGCAAAAGGTAAACGTGACCACCTTTGCTGGAGACATAAGCTACTCAAAATAAGCTTCCAGAAAAAGAGCCTGACTAAAAGGAACAGAACACTCCGTAAATACACAGATGAGCAGGAATTAAAGGTCATTTTACTTCTGACACACTAGCAAGACCAAGATCAAGATGACACAAGGCTCTTAGGTCCACATTTTAACAACTACAAATATTTTTAAAAGCAAAAGAAAGGTCCCAAAAAACCCCCAAAGACAATCTCAAGGCTAAAGAAATTGCTTTCCATAACTCTGATGAAAAACACATTAATTGCATGCCAGCTCCTCCTCCTCCACAGAAGTAGTCTGAGTACCCACCCTCATTCCTCCCCTCCTCCTCTCCTCAACAGCCTACAGCAAATGTAAACTAATATATATAGGACTGAGCCAGACTGTTCCCACAGCTGATGTGTTCCCCCACTATCATGTTCATGTGTCAAAACTTCATGGTAAAAGGTTTCAAGAGCTAAGGTTATTTTTTAGGTTAACTTTTTTCCGAGAGACTTTCAAAATGACTTCCTGATTACTCTTTTTAGCTTTTAGCAGCTCTGAATGTTTCTACCCACACCAGCATCTGATCCTCACAATGCCCCCATGTCTTCCTTGACATTTCCATGGTTAGGTTTCTTTTCATGATCTTTGTTCAACTTGTTTTAATTTCCATTACCATTGTAGGCAAACAGGAGAACAGCAGCTTTCCATCTCCCTCCTCAACACTAACTAGTTCAGCAATTTTCCCTGTCATCATTATGTCTTTTTCAAGGAAAGGAGTGTCCCCAAACCCAAACATTAAGCAGAGCTCTTTTCTGCACTACAATGCCACTTGAGTCCCCTTTGTGGTTTCATACTGATAATACAGATGATGGTGTTTAAGCTCCCAAATCCAAAGTGCACTACTTTGCAATTGTCAATACTGGCTTCCAGCCACCATTGTGCTGCTTAGGTGTCCACAAAGCACATAGGCTAAAAGGGCACAGAAAACCAAATAGCTTTGTGCCACCTGTAGATTTTCCCAGCTCACTACCAGCAGACAAGTTCCCTACCCTTTGACTAGTAAAAAGACTGGGAAAACCACAAACAGCTTCTGCTTTGATGAGAACACAGCACTTTTTCAATTTCCTTGCCTTGTTCCCTAAGACAGTTTGTTTTATGACACACTGTTGCTACTCCAGTTCTACAGTTATGCCCTACATGGAGTCTCACCAAAAGCCTTCTGAAAGTCAGACTGTATCGGGTGCTTTCCTTCCCTTGAACACTGGAAATTTGAACACAAAAAATCGTTCCCCTTAAACAAGGCAGGCTAAGTTCTACTGCCACCCTCCACGCTGGGTAGCTAATTAGCCCTACCACAGGCCAAAAAAAAAAAGAAAAAAAAGGCTGTGCATGATACAATTTATGATCTCCATACAGCTCCTGCTACAATGAACTGGAGCTTGCCCAGAGCTGCAGGGTATGGTGCCTGTCTCACACCTTCTTCATCAGGCAGGTATTAACTTACACCTGCCAGAGGGAGCTCCTTCATAAAACCCGTCACTTGGCATTACCAGCCCACATGCTGGCACAGCAACCAGTGCCCAAAGCCTGGATCCCCTAAAGACACAAAAGGGCAGATCCTCCAGAGTGGCACAGCATTTAGTGTTATCTGGGTTCATTATCTCAGAAAGAGATGGTCCTTCCCATGTTTATCAGCTTCTCCTCAGACTAATCTAACATTAAAGCTAAGTGAGACAAACAAAAGATTTTTTTCATGAAGACAAAACATTCAGGTTTAATGATAAACCTCTTGCTTATAACAAAAGGTTCGCACAGCTTAATAGCAGGACCTATTTCTCACGCTTACTGTTTTACCTAGGAACACGTAGACTTGCCTCAGCCTTTAGAGCTGGAGAAACAGTCCACACAGTAACCCTACCTTCTGCACCTGACTAGGGCAGCCCATTTCTTCTGATACAAAGAGGTCATTAAAAGTCTATCTAGCAGACTTGCATCTCTCTAAAACATTTTCTTGGTATTACAGTTTTTCTTTCCCTGTACTGCTCACACGGGACATTGTTCACATTTTAACTCTAACTCCTCCTTGCCCAAATGATACAATACACATATGCAATTCACCACCTACTGAAGTAGATAGCCTAGGGAACATGTAGTACATCCATCACAGAGGTCTTCACAGATGAGTCAGAGAAGTATCTGCTGCTCCTGACAGACAGTATTGATTGTGCTTTGGTCACAAGGATAGACTAGATAACCTTTGAGTCATTTCAAGCCCCACAGTTGAATTAAGCAGTGGGAAAAACGTTCATGTGACCAGCTATTCTATTGATCTTCAAATCTTTGGGTTTAGATCTTTCATAGACTTAACACAGAAAGCTTTGTCCAAACTGTCCCTTTCTGTTACAGTAAATTCACACCCATCTAAGCCTTAACGTTGTAGTTAGTTATTAGAGGATACCTGCCCACAGTATCACCTGTGATCTACCCACCACTTCCACATCCAGAAGTTCTTGCTCTGCTCCTACCCCGGGAAGCAGCCAGTCAGCTCTCACCTTGTTCCTGGCCTGTGCAGGTGTGCCGATGGGGAACCCCAGCCGGAGAACCATGCAGGGAGCTTTGGAGATGATCCGCACCACATAAAACGAGGAAGGCGTGGGATCCTCAGAGCTAGGGAGGAGGGATTAAGACAGAGCTGAAATAGCACGGATCTTGCTCCTCTGTTGTGTCAGACCAAGTGGAGGCCACAGAGCTCAACAGCCCACACAGCTTGGCAGCAACACAGGTCAGTTCTAGTGTGCAGAAACCCCCCAGCTGGCTTCCCTCTCCCTCTGGGCTGCACCTGGAACACAGTGGCAGCAGTTCAGCATAAGCAGGGTTTCATACCCGCTTGTCTGGCTCTTATCCTCTCCTCTAGACAACTGCTTCTGGCCCATCACAACGTACTGGTCTAACTGGATCTTTGGTCTGGCTGTATGCCCGTCCCTGCATGGGACTGCTTCAGAGCCACTCACCCATGTATCAGCTTGACGTAGGAGTAGCCCTCCACCAGCACAAAGCTGCTCCAGTCCCGCAGCAAGGAGGTGAGCGCAGAGTGAGAGATGCGGCACTGGATGGTGCTGTAGCGGCCGTTGTTGCCCGGCGTGTGCAGGTGCTTGGGCACAGGTCTGCAGGGTGTGGCAGAAAGTCATTTTAGAACCACAGTTTCTCTTCTTCCCCCAAAGCCCAGAGAGACTTTGCTACATCCATTCCAGCTCATCCTCTGACTGGTACATCAGCCTTATTCCTCCACAGCAGCCAACACCCGAGCACTTCCCCTACCTGTGCCTGTCGGTACCCACCACACTCCCTGAGCGCACAGGGATCCTGCTCTCCAACTTGCAGACAGCACACCCGTGTATCATTTCTATCTCCCTCCATGCAATACATGGCTATTATTCACATAACTCTGCAACTAGGACCAGCCTCAGGAAAGCAACGCTTTTGGGGAAGATGTTTTCCAGCAGCAAACAAAAACATGTGGAATAGCTCCAACTGGATGGTCCGCATCCCCTGCAATCAGGAAATCCAAACCCAAGAACGAATTGAGAAATAATTTATGCTCCTGAGAACAGCCCCCCTCTTAACAAAGATGACTTCCCAACCTACAGTCTCAGATAAATGAGCCTTCACCATTCACCAGGTCTCACTAGAGAGGCCCATCCCTTGGCCATAGGCACCTGCAAGACAGCCACAAGTCTGCAACTGGACTGAACTGGACACTCTGCTTTCCTAGGCTGGCCCACACCGTGCATGAGAGTTCAGCCCTGCCAGTTACATACGTGTCATGCTCCAGAAGAAGGACTATACGATGCATGTGCAGCCACCTCTGCCAGAAATTGGCATCCATGGAAAGGATAGGCTTCCAGTAGGAGGCAAACTGGGAATGGCTTGAGTCAGACCCACTGTGCTGCAGGGATAGCACCTGAGAAAATGACAGGGCAATATTCAGCAAGAAACTGGTTCCACCCAGAGAGAGCAGGAATTTCTCCAGCAACCGAGCTGTGTAGGCCTAGAAGGCTAGCCACATCCCTGGCTTTCGGTAACTGCCTCTCAGCAGAATAACTAAGTGTGTTCACATTGAAACAGGAAATACAACGTAAGCAAAAATAAATTAGACTCCTGAAATGTCAAGTTAATTAGGAATTGAACTACTTAGCATCAACTAAATCAACCATGGAAAAGATGGCATATGTAATAGTTTGCTTTCTGTTTGAGAGGGGGATACATGGCTTATGTCAGCAGAGCAACTAAACACCCAGATAACGCATCTGAGAGTGCTCATGCAAATAGGGTACCAGCAATGGGTGGCATTGGGCAACTCTAACATGTTTGTATGTTAACACTGTGATTTCACCGACTGCAGCAACTCTGCTGACACAGAAATAAAGTGGTGGTTAGCCATAAGATGGGATGCTCCAGATATACTATGGGACGCATAACCCTACATACTGAAAATTTACCAGGCAAACCTAAAGAAGTAAAGGGATTGGGCAATAAAATTAAAGGGATACCTGTCTTAAATTAAAGCTCCTCTAGCTTTGATATCTGCTAGTCATCTTCTACCAATGCCAAGGACACTACTAGCAGGGAGCAGATAGTATGCTAGCACTTCTGCTCAAGGACCTTCAGTGAGTTTGAGGTTTGCAGTGGAAACTATTAGCTCATATTTTGTTTAGTTTCTGCTGTGCAGATGACAAGTATCTCTCTTGCACCTTCCACATGAGTGCTCAGAACAATGAGCCTATTAAACAACTATTCAGCACATCCTGTATCTTCACCTGATGGTGCTGAGCTACATCACCAAAGCACAAGACTGCCAGCAGCAACTCCACACATATGAGGTATACGCTGAAAAAACATGGCAAAAATAAGCATCTTAGCCTCCCCATTGGTCTCACACATCACATCACTACAGGAGAAGGTTTCACAACACACTTAGGAGACTTGCTGTGGCACTTAGAGCTGTAGCTACAGCAGTAAACACATAGGGTGATGTCTCAGGGGAAAAAGTACGGGATGGGATATTCACAGGCACTGCATTGCACCTGAACTCTGTTACTGAGCAGGACAAAGAGCAAGAGATGAAGTCTGAGAGTTACAGATCTCAATTGCGTGGTGGGACTCAGCATCCCCTGGTGCAAGACAGAATAGGCAGGAGGGACAACCTATCCCACATTAAATGGGAGAGAGAGGGAACATACCGGAGTGGTGGAGCCTGGGGGGATGTAGAAGAGGGGCACCCCATTCTTGGTGCTCTCAGGAATGGTGAAGTGTTCTGGAACTGTGTCAAAAGACTGCAGATGAACCAACATCTGATCTGTCTGGTTGATGCTAAAAGAGAAGAGGCAGTTAGACACAAAATCTCACACTCTCCTCCTTGCTGCCCCAGTCAGCTCAGTGCCTGCACACACAGCACTCACTATGTTTTGAGAGCCCATTTACACCAAAATAGCTTTCTAGGGCAATGCTGGGATTCAATGCCTGATTGCAAAGCGCACGTTAAGGGCATTCAAGTGTAACAACCTAATATGCAAGGAGGATGGTAAGAGTTGGGAACGCTAGAAAAGTGCTAGAAAAGGAATCTGCCGAATAGCAGGGAGTAACGGTCACCGTGGCCAGGAAATGGTTATAACCCACAGGCCTAGAGACATGAGGTGCTGCTCCTTGTGTGACCACGCAGCACAGCTGCAAAGCTGTGCTGTAAGACCACACTACCTCCGTGGGATGGCAGTCAGAGTTAAGGTTTGCATTACAGGATCAGGACTCGGGGGCAACAATACCTTCACCATGAAGCAATCTTACAGACTAGGTCACAGGCCAGCTCAAGTCTTTTCCTTGGCTAGATGGCAAACTTGTTGCCATTTATGCATCTTCCTCAGAGCATATTCCTTTGGGACCCTGGATTGGGATGGCCACCTACATAACCCATGCCCCAGTGTGCCAATGAAGGAATTTTTTGGTTACATCAGACACTGGAAACTGCTGGGGATGGTTCAGCTCACCTCTGTAAGGTGTTCCAGAAGCGTCGTATGACTGTAGTGCGGTACAGACTGGTGATAGGCTTCCTCATGGTGCAACTGATGTCATGCAAGATGTCATAGCTTCCCTCCATCGTCACCTCCACCCATGTGCTGCGCTTTGATGGGTCCAGGGGCCAGGGTGTCACAGCTAAGTACTCTATCCTCATGTTATGCTTCCAAAGCAGCACTAGTTTCACCTCCAGCTGAGACCCACCTGCATAGGAGTAGAGGAGTAACTTCAAGTGCTTGTTTGGTACACATCTGAGCTTTATCTCTGACCAGGGACTCCCGAGTACCGTGAGACTGATTGATCACTATGAGGAGGACAAAGTAATCTAACAACTGTTTGCTCTAGCTGAAGTCATTTTCTCTCCTCCCCAACAGAGGGAGGCTTTGCTTACACAGTAGCATTTGGTGAACGGTTCTTTAAGCATACATGTAGTATCCACACTAGAGAAGGCAACTGAAACTCAGAGGAGGTGCCGACATTTCCAGTGGGCTCTCTTCGCAGCCTCATCTTTGCTTCCAAGAAAACTGTTGCTTTGCACAGATGAGCAGGGCCTTTAAGCTATAAAGTTTTATCATCTGCACCCTGCAGAGTTAATCTATCCCACTGCAGAAACACAGACATTTGGACATGATGGGCCCAGATCGTAAACAACCTGGAAGGTGAGGCCCAATTCCTGAATTAAATTCCATGTTTTTCCTGCACAGACAGTATTTTATGCAATCTAGAGCTTCGAGCATGAAAACCTTCTCACCATGCTTACCTTCTTCTCCTCCTGAAGTTAAGAATGAATATTCACCCATTCTTCAAACTGTACATTTTTACCTTTTTCTTTAAGCGGGTCATTGCATCTCTAGCAAGATTAACACAAACACCCAACAGCAAGCCTTACTGAGCCAGAAGAACAGAACACTGTCACAGTCCTGCTGACTGTGCGTGTGTATTTGTACCAAAACAACCCAGGGAAACACATGACTTTCTATAACAGTGCTACGCTGCTGTTTCAACTGCTCAATCATCTATTCTGATGTCCAGCCTGCTCTATAGTTTGCCAGACTTGCAGCATTTGTGAGATAAGTGATTGGATACACTGGAAACCATCCAAACAGGTCATCAGCCTGGATCCTATGTTTCCTGCAGAGTTGCATTTGCTGCTGTCACAGGCACATCGTGCCATGCCCTTCACCGGCTGATTACACCCCATTTTAAAGCCACCTTGCTGTTTGCTCCCATGGCCCCTGCTGGGAGGCTCCCTCAGAGTACTCTTGCCTCGTCAATGTTTAGAAGAAACCTTCCAGAGTACATGCCAAATTCCTGCTCGGTTGTTCTTTTGATAAAATTGTTTTTATTCTCAGAAGCTTAATTTCCATAACACTGACAAGCAGTGTGCACTAGGGGGAGAAATCACTACCCAGTTTCAGCTGTTACTGTGCAGGTTAAACCATGCCACGGTCACCAGCCTATGATAGACTATCCATTCCCCTTAACAGTCCCAGACCTTTCTGCACCTCAGGAATTCATCTCTCCTGAACAAAGACGATCAAAGGTGTATACTATATTTCACCTGTATTTCGTCTGAGGGATTACTGGAATTTTATTCAAGGTCACTAATATTTTCCACAATGGGTGCTTTATGTTACTACTATAAATGCATTTGCCAAGGTTGTAACATCTGTTGTTTCCGTATGAAGATTTTCTAGTTTATCAGAGAGGCTAAACAAGAATTTATAAATTTGTCCCTTTCCATTTCATATGGTCATCTCACTCTTATCACTTTAGTGCTCATCCACTGCTTTCTGCACAGTATTTTGGTTCTCATAACAAATCCTTTCTAATTCATCAACAGCAAACATGGCAATTCCTGCATTTTTTGCCTAGATCATTAAAGAAAATATTTCCTACTTCCACCTGTGTTTCCATTAGTCATTCTGGCTCCACTCCTACAATCCAACACAAGCAAAACTAAAAAGACAGGCAAAATATTTGCTTAGTTTTAAGTCATACCCAGATGTATCTTTAGCTTGTTCTTAGTGCAAAGCAATCTATTTCTGGTTCTTGACTTTATAACTAATAAAAGTTTTTGCCGCTTTGATTTCTTTCATAAAGCTCCAGTTTTTAGAAAACTCACTTTGTCTTCCCAATTCCTGACACTGAGAAAAGCCATTCTCAATGGCCAGCTTGTGCCCAGCCATTTTTGGTGCTGGACTGATTCACAGAGGACTATGAGGTCTTTAAAAATGTCCTCCAGGCTCTCCTCAACACACAGCAACACAAAAAGGCGAGTGAGAATTTGTCTGTTACAGAGGGCAGACCTCTGACATCGTCCCAGAAAGAAACAGGAGAGGAGCTGAGCTCCATCACACCCCATGGCCCCACGCTTCTCAGACACAGCTTCTCTCCCTCCCATACCTTCCAATCCTCCCCCTTTCACAAGCACTTCTGCATTCCAAACTAACCATTGTAGCCTTCTAAATGCCTAAATATCTGAAATCAAATAGTGAGGGTAACCAGAGCACTTATAAATATCACAAACTACCTCTCCAGGCAACTCAGAGCACAGAGCTAGCTATTTATTCTATTTTGCCTTTGGCAAACTGAAGCAGAAAAGCGACAGAGTC